CTACAGTACCTCAACACTTCATGGTAACAATAAGCTCTGGTTGTTCATGGATTTTGCAATTTGACACTAGGTGAGAACTCTATCAGCGGATGCTCAGATCAAACACATATATCCGGTCCGGTAGCTCCGTAACCTGCAGAAACTTTTCTCAGCTGATGCTCTTTCGGCGAACCCGCATATGCACTCCAACTTTGAGATGCGTGCGGAATCTAAAGATCCTGGCGTGAGCTCTTGCAGCCCCGGATATGAGGGAGCAGGTCGGAACCTAGCCCTGCACATGGAAGGTTCCGGGATACTTCCGAGGAATATTCTGCTGTGAAGGGGCTTCTGAGAAGAAAGAACCTGGCCGTGCGACTGAAACAGTGTCCAAACTGATGAGAATCCTTGAACAGCGGACCAGTCAGTCGGCACCTTGCCACCGAAGCATGCCTTCGGCTTTTCACGACATCTTCACCACCGGCCGTTTGTTTGGGCTTCAGAGTCTGCCACTCAGGAATTGCTGCGAGTCTACTCTGTTTCTCCGCACATTAGCATCTGCACGCGAAACCCGGAGGTCTAGTTTTAGGGCACGCCAACTCTACTTCAGAAACAGCCTGCGTGCCAACAGCTCAAGCAAGACCCAAGTGTAGAAGCTACGAGAGAAAGATCGAAAGCAAGAAGGCAGCATGGCGAACAAAAATGCTATACACAAGACAAGGTTAGATTACAACCAAGTAATCGAAGGACCAACACATCACTCGCTGAATGGAAAAAGCAGCTTTCAGCCCGGCACTCGTCCAAGGCTCCCAGTTCCCGCAAATAGTCGATGCTCTCCTCATTGTTTCGATTTATGGACGGGATCAACCTCGGTGTATGTCTTCAGCAACCAAGTCTCGGAGAACTGCCACTGACCATCCAGCGCCGCGCCATAAAAGTCCTGCGCGGGCGTGTGCAGAAAAGCACACTCCCCTCTCCGAGCAGAGCATCGCAGACTTGCCACACATCCGTTCTTCGACTCACAGCAGGGCATGCAGGGCATCCTTCAACAGAACGCGTCCAGTTCCGGCGTGCTCGTACTTGACGAGAAGACCTGACTGTCGCAGCAACATGATGCAGGCTGCCTGAGACATTCATGGGCCGGCTTGCATGTCAAGCCGCTCTTCAAGTCACGACACTCCGAATCCTGCCATCGACCATAGCGTTCGCCGATCTCCTTGAAGACTGTAGCTTCCGCTATTCTGCGTACATCTTCAGCTGTATTGTAAAGTGCTGCATGCTACCATCCACTCTACTCGGCTGCACTGGCCTGGCTGCATCCGCAAGTCAACCTCTGCATGCCATGCATGCGTCTTGCCTCGACAATTTCCGTTGCAGCACGGAAGGAGAAGTTGTTGGGGGAGAAGTCGGAGTCCAAATCCTGGCAGGCAGTCGCAACAGCATCAGCAAACGGCAGCAGCCCATCGCTGCTATGACACATACAACTGGCACATGGGGAAGTTGGCCGCGACGTCCTTTGAAGCAACCACGCTCGAGCGCACTTGTGACGTGAATTTTTGCGTCTCGTGCCAGCCAGGGTAGCTGTCGACGATCAAGGCACGCTCCTCAATGGTCTGCAAGATCCGAGGCTTCGGCATAAAGACTATCGTGCGCAATGGGCGCGGTGATCATGAATAAGAAAAGAAACGACAACCACGAGAACCACACCAGTAACAATGACAATAAGTCTTCGTTGTTTTCGGCAGCAGCAGCAGCAGCAGCAGGAAGAGTAGAAGTAGCAGGAGTCCTCCTCGCCCTCCTCCCCCTCCCACTACTGCTAATAGCGCCACTAGCACCGGCACCACCACTACTGCTGCTAGTGCAGTGCTCCTACTGCTAGAACGGCGACGACCACCACCACCACCACCACCACTACTACTACTACCACCACCACTAGGGTGACTTCTGCTAGTACGACGACTACTGCGAGAGTCTGTCCATTGCTCTCAGTGCTTGCTGAGCTTCTTTCGAGACTGTGGCCGCCGTGAAGTTCTGGGAGCCGACGAGGAAAATCGTCATGTAGGTGTCAATCAAGTCTTGCAGCACGACCTCTCTGAAAGTGTGCCCAGCTAGCACATACTGGAGACTGCTCGTTAAAGTGCCTCGCTGACATTGAACTACAAGTATTGAACTACAAGTAGCGCACACTGCCAGACATTCTGAATGTCGCAGCGCACCTCTTGCACTCGATCGGCCATCGAAAAGTTGTGCACCTTGTGGTGGCGAAGATCATGGTTCCGCAAGGTCACAGATCTAAAAACAATTTCTGCTGTCACCCCTTTGCCACCTCGTACACAACCGAAAGTCGATTTACCGCCTTGCATTTCCGCTGCACGAAAGCGTCACAGTAAGACTTTCAAGAACGCAATGCATCAAGCGCCTCGTCGTGGATCAAGTGCTCCAGGGTGGCTGCCAACACAGTCAACTCGTGAAGGCCCAGGCCTTGATCCTGAAAGAACTCGGCACGAAGCAAGACCTTACGACGCCCGCCCAGTACATGCTCGCCTTCAAGCGATCTTCGAAAAGCGACAGGACGAAGGACGGCACATGCTCCTCAAGCACCTGCTGCGAGTTTGCATCCACCCTGAGTTAACTCCCGCCAAGCCGGCTCTCGAACTTTCCACTGAATCTAACCCGACTTCGCAGACCCGCATTCGAAGGTGAAAGAGATATGTGCACAACGACTGCACTGGGCCTCCGTAGTGCTCATGTTCTTCCAGTTCATGCCGCTGGCCTCGAGGCCCTGCACGTGCAGCAGAGGTCAATAGAAGAAAGATAGAGAGCAGAAGATGCTCGTGGATCTGAAGATATGTCTCGCGATGAGTCATGCACTTATGCCCTCTCCGTTCTCCCCGATCTTGTTCTGCGTGAAGCAAATTTTGTGAAGCCAAATGTTGAGTGTGTACGAGGCATGCACATTTGTCGAAGCCTGACATGTCGCGAGCACGGGATGAGCGCTGATGCGGCCGCACGTACATCAGCGACCACAACTATTCACCGAACCGATTGGTTCGGAGACTCTCCCTAGCACACATTGAGAAGGCCGGGTCTGCGAATGGTCTGAGAGGGTGGCTAAGCTCTTTGCGTGGTGAATCGGTGCATAGGGCGGGGCTCCCCCCCACGAAGAAACATTTACTCTCCATGTACCAATCCATTCAATCCTCGCGAACTTGTTTCCACTAAATCAAGAGAGATGACATGCTCGTGGCACGCTTACGGACAGATCGTGTTTGTTCGTGGCGCCAGGGAAAGGCGACAAGAACCCGTCGTGCTTAAAAAGCAGCGTAAGCTGCACTCTGCATGTCAGCACTGCGGACCCAAAACCCACCAAGGATTCAAAAGGGAATGGTGCAGCCCAGAAGGAACCTTGATGTACATGGCATGGCGCTGGACAAAGAGCCGGTGCAAGACATACCTCCCAAAATCCGGGTCTGGCAGACAAGAGCCCTGTACATGCGAAAAGCTCGAAAAGGCTCGATGTTGTCATGCCTCGCTGCAGCATCTTCCAGGTTGCCGTAGGCATTCTTGGGCATGGCCTCACGTCAAGAAACATGCAGACACCCAGGTGTGCACAGGTCCGGCCTGGAAGGTGGGCTGCAAGGCCGTCTCGATAGTTTTGAGTCGCTTCTCGGTGACACGGTTGCCACCTGATCGACAAAACTCTCCACGGTTTACGACAGCCGTTGCAAATCACAGCGAACCTCCATGTCGCGATGGGAACCCAACTGCAGTGAAGCTTTCATCTGGCCGTGGCAAGCTGGGGTTCCGGGCTTCCAAGGGCCGTCATCACCTGCCCACAGAGGTGCCCAACATTCAGAGAAGCGTCGCGGCAGCAGGACACAAGGCGGCGGTGCGAAGGCCTCCTGCAAGACCGTCTCGCGGAGCTGGTCCGTGCCTTACGGAGACAGGTCATGCACGTCTAGGCAATTTCGTTTCGGAGTGCCATCCTTGTCGCAAGATGTGTTCTCGTCTCTGCTGTCGCCGAAGATTCGACAACAATGTACAGCCTAAAGTAAATCCTGAACACTTCGTACAGCTGGCTGGGTGATGGATAGAAGCACAGTGTGTCAGGATGTGTGCTCCGTAGCAAATCTTGGATGTGTCATAGGGCAAGCGACGAATCGGGCGACAGAAGAAGTCGAAGGTGCCGCAGAATAGAGGAAGTGTCAAGCGGCAGCCAGTTGGTAGCCAGCAGCGTCATGAAAACCGAAGAAACCCAAATATAAGCCAAGGCTGGAAAGCAGCTTGAGTTAAAGGAACAATGAACGTGACATGGAAGTTCAAGAAAATTGCAACAGCAACAACAAAAAAAAGATGTGCTGCATGCATGGACGGAGACTTGTGTGGAAAGGTTTCGATGACACTCCGTTGACATGAGTCTCGTATCATCACCACCATCACCACTGCCGGCGCATAATTAATATGTCCATCAACTACCAGTCGGTTTGCAGCTGTTCGATCCTTCGCGGCCCATCATGCCTTAAAAGACGAGCAGCTCATGGATCCCGCGTTCGCGTGGAGGTTTCCTCGAAGAGAGGCCTCTGCACAGCGAAACGCGACAATGGCGAAGAAGAGATGGAGAGCCATCCTCGGTGAGATTCAGGAAGTCTCTTCATGCTGTGTTGCTGTCACGGTCCAAGTTCCTAGGCTAGCATGGGGCAACACCCTGACTCGAACAATGACGACTGAATCACTTCCGCGACGAGAGTCTTGATGGACATGGAATGGGCCTGAAACGAACAGGACTGAACAATGGCTAAGTGAGCTTACTCGAGCCGAACTGCAGTTCATCCGTCCGGTCAATCACTGTGCAATATGTGTCTAGGTCCCTATTGGAGCAAGGGACGCCGATCTAACAAGAAGCATTCCAAGACACAATTACCTAGGCTCCAGAGATATTCGCCTACACCCTTTCTAGACACGTGCTCCGTGGTCACATTGACATTAAACTCTGAAAGCCCCGAGCTTGCGCCGGTTTTCACGCATCACTGCACCAGCGCGGTCACGTGAGCGACGCCAGCACGCACGCAAAGCCAACGGGTGCCTGGAGCAGCTGGGTGGACACACGCTTCGGCGGGCTTTGGCTATGGAATGCCACGGCGGACCGCAGCTTTGCACTGCATCGCTGCACCTTGTGGTGGCTTCACTTCCCGGGGCTGCAGCAGCCGCTTGCAGGGCATGCCAAAGCCAAGACAGCCCTCCTGACATCGCAGGGCGTGCCTATGGGTGCCTTACGTCCGCTCTCGCTCTGATCGTGTGGATCTCGTGCTGTTGCCATCTTTTGCCGACGCTCCTTGCCCCAGCCGCTGACCATCAGCGAGGGTCCACTCTGAGACTCCACCTCGAAGAACGTAAAGAAACCTCCCAGCATCTTAAAGTCAAGTGATCAGATGTTGACTGTCACTCTCCCTTCCGTCACAGCAAGAGCTGCCCTACAGCCAAGCAAAAACTGAGTCACTTGGGGAAGAACGCAAAAAAGTTGCGTACTCCCACACAAGGCTGGTGGTCTCGCCTCCGCAGCCAACTCCGGCACAGCCTGAGTTAGCAGAGTACAAAGGGATGTATCTAAGGAAGCCGGGGTTGCAACTAAGCCCAGGCACGCCCCGGCAAAGGAAGCGCAGTGGGCTGGTCAAGAATGGTCAGTGAGCCTTGCCCGCACTGACCTGTGCCGGGCTTCAGCTTACACTTTTTCTCAGCAGCGACGAAAAGTGGGCCTCTTCGATTGTCGCCGAAGGTGAAGAGAGCGCCCTCCTGATGGGCACTTCAGCTCAATCTTGACGCATGATGCCCATCCGTGCCACATGGCGATGGGTGTGGCCCCGGCTTCGTCGACAACGGCGGAATGGATTCCTCCCAGCGATACCTTCGCGGCCTTCGACGCGCGGCCTCATGGGATTCGGATCTTCCCCTACCCGTTCGAATCTTGCGGCGAGGGTGGCACAGGACGGCACACAAACAAGTTGAAACCGGAGAGATCAACATGAAGAATGTTGAACAAGGGCGGTCATTGCACCATCCACCAAGTCGTGCCAGGCCTTCGTGTCCAAAGAAATGCACAGGTCGCGGCGAATTCGCCTGCAAAAGTTTCGTGGGTGAATGGGTTCCAGTGGGCAGGTAGCGGGACAGACTTGGGGGGACATGGACGCAAAAATTCATCCCCGTTGCCCGGCAACGCCCGCAGCTCACACTCTTAGCAAACCTCGGAAGTCTAACTCAAGTTCGTTCCTGGCAAGTCCCTGCCGATGACCTCAAGCAGTTCCTTTTGTGAGCAACCAAGACCAAGCTGGCCGTAGCTGTTGCCTCATGGACGATTGGCACAACAGATAAGCCAACAAAAAACGCAGCTTGGCCACAACCTTCAAACTTGATTCTTCGACGGGTCGGTCTAATGAGTCTAATGACAGTATGACTGCATCTGGGCAGCTTCCCCATGTCCACAGCATCCCGTCTTCCGTGATGGCTGCACTATGGTAACCTCAGATGCAATCTAGGTTGCACGAGTTGAACAAAAATCCCATGCAAACGACTCCGGCAAAACCATGGGCTTCGTAGTCGTCTCGAGTGCACGCAAGCTGCCGCCCGCTGCAATGGCTTTCACCAGCGGCATGTCGAGAAGGCGAGGCTGTGGCTGCTTCAAGCTGATGCTGCTTGGTAGATGACCTGCCAGAATGTGCCAACGACTCCCTTCACAATCATGAGTTGCCAAAGACACCCGGATACACAATGCCAGCAAGCAACTGCGGATCTTTGGGTCCTCCAATGCCATACTTGCCTTTGCAGCTACACCGCCAACATATCACGCACATCCGTTCTCAATGGAACTACTAGGACTGGTGGTGTCGTGTATGTGAAGACCTGTAGCGGCTGAGGACACTGCGAAGCCAACTTCGGGCCCTTGCGCTTCGCCCCAACCCAACAGGCGTCCTCGCGACGCTCACAGGGGACGCGACATCGGCAAACCTTTTCGTAATGCCCGGACAACACAGTCGCTGACAGTCAAGACCAGGAAAGAAGACAGAGCAGACTGTTGAAAAAGCTGTGGAAAATTTGCATCAGCCGGCCTTCTGCGGTCAGCGCAAGTCCGTGGAACTCACCTTTGTAGAAGGCTCGGATACACGAAAGAGACGGCTTCGATCGAAAAGCTTGCACAGGAGGGCAATGAAATGTTCAGGCAAAGTGCCGAGCGCAACCTGGACCACCGGAACTTTGCCCGGCACCTGGTGACAAGCGAGCGCGCGAGATGTCGCATCGATTTCATGGTAAAAGATCATGCGACCCTACTCATGTTGACTGGCCTCGCCTCATAGTCACCGAAAGCACGGCAGCAGAAACAAGTGCTACCAGCAAACGCGTTTGTGTTCAAAGCCAGAGCCAGGGCTGTCCGAACAGCCGGTTTCGGCGACACGCACGAAGTTCGCTCCAGCGCTGTTCCCCGTGATTGTAACGCACATGGTCAGCATTATCTCTGCAAGATTCACCCACACAAGCATACGGCCGTGCTTCCACCACCGAAATTGCAACTCCACTCACAGAGTCCTGCGCAACGTGTCCGGAAACCCAATACTGCCTGCATAACAGACCATCCTACGTATGGTTTTTCAATACTGTTGAGGGTGTCTGCGTTGGTTCCGAAGAAAAACCATCTCTTGCGAGCAACTATGTACTCACATTGATTTTCCGCGTCATGTCAACGTGCTACCACAAGGTTAAATTTGTTGCAAACGCTATCTTGCAGCTAACATGTCCGGCTGCTTGTTGGATTTGGCTAGGCTTTGCAATGCTCCCAAAAGTTAAAGTTAGGAGAATCCTGGTGCAGTGGCACAGGCCCAGCATCTAATGTGGATCGGTGATTGGTATGATTCCAACTGTCATGAACCGGCCCGGTGCCAATTTACGACGAGTCGTCGGGAGCGGCACCGTGCGAGAAAGATGTGGAAGCCCAAGGACAGGATGTGACTGCACGGACGGAGGCGTGTTTGCAATCCCGTCACTGCACACAACCGCTTTCTACATCTGCCACGGCCAGCCACGGGCATCCAAAGTGCCGGTTTCGTCAAGCTGCCCGGTGCTTCCCAAGTCTTTTCCGCTCGCAGAACCCCCTGGAGTCTTCGCATCGCCCCGAACCATAAGCGACAGACAAAGGAAGTCACCACGACCATGAAGCGAGGCGAAATGCTCGCAGAGGGGAGCTGGCTGAAAACTCACGGCAGTGCTGCTGGCAAGACTGCTGCTACAGTACGGCTGCCACGAAAATCGTGGTCGAAGAAAGGCCCTGATTAGCGCCTTCAGCGGCGTCAAGGCCTTGACGACAGGGGCATCCGTCGGCACACCACATCCATGTCCTTCGTTTGCACCTTGATTGACACGTCTAGTGCAGTCTGGATACATACAAGGACGCGACCGCAAGGGCTATCAGGAAAGACTACCGGATTTGGGTGCAGCCCGGCAGCCCCAAGCATACAGAGAGCCTTCTGCTGTAAGAACTGTCGTCACGAAACGTCCGCACCGGACATCATGAACGGCCTCAAACTTGCGGCACCAGGTCCAGTGCAACTTTCTGTCATGGGGCATGGGTCTTGCTATCCAAAGTGCAAACGGGGTTGGTTGCGCCATTGGCTCGGCAAGCATGTCAACCTTCGCGATATCAACAAGACTCGACACTAGAACGAATGCCTCTCCAGCTAGCCAATCAGAGGGCTTGCATAATTTGTCGCCTCCTCTTCTCCAGCCGCAGAGCACTCCTCCGGGCTTTCTTCCGCGAGGAAGGTGCCCCAGACGTACAGAAGATCCGCACAGCTCACAGCCTCTGATGCACTCCAGCTGTTCAGGAATCACAGGCCAAGCCCCCCAAAGAACAAGCGGCATGCGCACTCCGAAGCGGAGTGTTATGAGGAAGTTCAAACACTTCACGAGCTCTCCGAGACTCCATCTCGCTAATTTGCTACGAATGTCTTACCATTGTGAGCCTTCTCAGCGTAGACGTCGCAATGTTTTCTCGTGCATACTCTAATGACGGACGTCCCTGCAGCCGCTTCGCAACCCATGCTGCCAAGCCACCGCCGAGTGGGCTCCTGCCAGGCTGCAGGGTATGGTACTGCAGGTGCGAGCCACAACACCTTTTGATGCGGATGATGGTGATGTTTGCAGAAGCCCCCGGAAGTGTTGACCGTGGCTCTTACGGTGGTGGCCATTCGGTCTGCTTCCTCAATGAGAACCCACGGTACGTGTTCGAGGGTGTTAGGAGACGCCGAAGCCACTCGGGCAATTGGACATCACCAAATTTCGAGGATGCTGCAACCATCACTGCAATGTTCGACAGAACATCTGTGATGGATTGCAGATCTGGCGAAAAGCAAGTTACTTGAACCTCAGGTTTCAAAAAAATGTGAATGACCAATCTTATCTGGTGGCGAACAGGTCCTGATGCCAAGCTGGTCAGGCGGCAGGCATCAAAGCCAGGAACCTGAAACAGTGACAATCGCAAGGGATCAAGCGGCTACTTCTTTTGTCGGCTGGTTCTTTCATGCCTTGATTCTGCGGGCTAAACTGCAACCGAGCATCCACTTCCGGCTCAGCACAGACACCCCGGCTGATTGCTTCAAGACCTCTGCCAAGGCGTCCATCCTCAAGGGCCGCATACACTTGTTATGCACAAGCTGCTCATCAGGATTTTTGGAAAATTGTATGAGTTTTTCATATGAACTTCTATTAAAAGAGCAGTTTGCTTTTGCTAACGGAATTTGATAGTCCTCGCTGGCGCCCCAGGACAGCAGCCGGGCCCCAGGTTTCGCCTCACGGGGCGCTGGAGCAGCGCAGCCACGTCCCACATTCCGACTCGACGGTTACGGTTTTGGTCTTCGGTGAGGTGATTGAGAGATTGAAGGTGTCAGCCTGACTACTGCCATTCTTTGGAGGATGAAACAGAGCATCCAAGACTCTGCACAGGCCTCTTCGACAGAGTTGCCACCTTCTCCAAATACCTGCAACCGCCACATCTGTCACAGAAGCGTGCGGATTGTGCGCATCATGACAGTTTGGGTCGTTGACAGGCTCTCTCTTGCAGCAGGGTCAGCTACAGTGCCTGGTCCTGGAAAAACGCCAGGCTCGGCCGTGACCATTCTGCCCATCCTTCCTCATTGGCAGCTCGCCTCGGCTTCCGGAGATGAAGACCCCACAACCCAACAACCCAGTTCTCATCCGCTTCCTCAGCTTCCTAGCTCTCTCAAAGGCCAGAAGACACTGATACCCAGCATGCCCTTGGAAGGCGCTGGCAATCCAACAGCGGCCGATCTTCGGCGGCTGGCCTCGGCGTATCCCCTGAGTCCGAGAACCTATCATTGCATCAGCTCCACAGAATTCGTGGCATGGTTCTTGGAACGATCAAAGCCGTGCGTGCATTGCATGGCCCTGCTCAAAACTCATGGTCTCGGTAGAAGTGAACTGAACAGCCATTCCAGGGTGCCCGGCATACCAGGAAGGGACTGAAGCAGGTATGCGCAATTAGCATCCTTGCCGCCACTTCCTCCACAGGCCTCGTGCACTTCAACTGCAAGCAGAGCTGCACATAGGACTGCGTGTTATCTTTGTCAGCTTGCTATAGCAAATGCCGACCGGCTGCTGCCTCCTCGGCAGTTAGCCTTGGCTCCGTTCACCCACCCGCAAAGCTTTGTCACAATGCAAAAAATGGATGACCAGCAAATTTCATGGACCAGAAGCTCGATCCGGCACGCGCTGTCCACGTCCGCAGCTCCTGTCGGGAGTTCAAGACTTTCAAACCCAGGGGATAAGATTGACATTCTACGCTCACATCTGGTGCATGCGGATCACCACTTTCCCCAAAAAGTAACATTAGGCGTGCCTTTTACGCCCAGCTGCCACGGCCAGGCGCTGACTGCATAGCGCCTTGGCTTCTTGAAGGCAGTGCACGTCTCTCTAAAAGCATGGTGTGCTTGCAAGCAGGCTGCGTGATGCATCGGTTGTTGTCTCGTGGAACTTTCCATTGTAGAAGCACACGTTGTAGGTCTCTTCTGGCAACTACGACACACTCCACCACGTCGGGAACATCGAAAAAATCCTCCGCCATGCAGCTTGAAAACTTGGGTCGTGAGACTAGCATGCCGAATGCAAGCAGTGAAAGAACATCCGTGCAAAGTTCTTCGTCGCATGCGTCGGATAGACCTTCAGTGGCCTTAAGCAAGATGCTCCAAAGAACCGTCTCTGGCTCCTGCCTGGACTGTGCTACCAAACCGCCACCACGGTGATTGCAAGACCCACCGTCATCGTCAACATCATCATAGCCATCAGAACCGTGCGAGTCCCCTTTTTTTGGAAAGTGCGAGACTCATTGTGGCGGCTATCAGGCACCGTTACAAAATGATAGTTAAGCCACCCACAGGCGATTCTAGCACCGTGGCTCATCATAATCATCCACAACATCAAGATCAACATCCACACCACATCATCATCAACAACAACATCATCAACAACAACATCCACATCCACATCCTCATCATGATCCTCATCATCATCATCCTCAACGTCAGCATCTGCATCATCAGAACTTACCTCATTCTCGCGACCATCACACACATTCTTTGCCCACTGTCTGGCAGAGGAGCAGCTCGGGCTTTGACATCTGTTCCTTACGGGTGTTGTTGTCTTCGGCACCTCTCTCCCGAATCCACGACGCGGTCCTCAGTCTGCAGCTCCGGGGACATCCCGTTACAGAGCTGGATCGTGCCACTGGTGACGGACTATGACTAAGTCATTCTACAATTTTTCATGACTGTTGCGAAAGCAACTGATGTAGAGCTGCAAATGTCGCGAAACTCTAGAGAAGCCACAGTTCCCTGAAAAAAACGGCTCTGCCGGCTCATGATCTGACAAGTCTCGCTATGTCTCGCTTGCTCTACGCACTTCGAAAGAACTGTGGAATCCGAACCTTTTTTCAGCACGACTGCGCTGCCATAGTGCCCGCTGCATTTGCTATGGCAACCTTGCTTTCGGCACGGCAATAATCAGCAAAGAGCGGGAAATGCCTTCAAACCAAAGCTATTCATGCAAGATGCTCTTCCTTGGGAAGGCCAGCGCATTGCAGAAGAGCCGGTGTGCAGTGCTCCTGGTTGCGGCTGGCGTCTACATACATAGTTTCACAAATGTGCTCCGGGCCTCGATACAAGCTTGAGATTCTGGGTGTTCCTTTCCTTGGAAAGTTTGGTCGAGAACAGCTGGCTGCACTAGTAACAAGACACTACTAATAACTAATATTTCTGATAGCTGCGTCACACTTAAAATGCGACTCAGACAACGGCCTTTCGTCGCAAGCAAAGAGAAGCACTGCTTCGTGCTGCAATCCGACACGTCGACGAAGCATGTTGCACCTGAGTTACTAAAGAGCTTCTGCAGCCGCCGTGCTTTGGGTCTCAATGAAGCTCTCAATATCCCTCAACTTCTCAAGTTAACCATCAAGACTTCGTCAAGGCAACACCGTTGTGAAGAAGGCTTCCAACTTAGGCCCTGGCAAAGCTCTGACAAGCCCAGCTTCTCCTTGTGCAGCTTCAACGAAGTCTCCCTGACGATTTTGAATTTGAAGGTGCTCCAGCTCTGTCTTCCGATCTTTTCCTTGAGCAGACGAACTCAAGACTATTTCGGCGCAGCAACACGACCGATCAAGCGAACGTCCAACGCGTGAGTTTCTTCGGCTTCTGGCGCTGCGGCCCAAGCAGCCAGCAGCTCGGGGACTTTTGATCCTTTGAGGGCATCTCGATCCGACTGGCCGGTGCAGAGGCCCTCGGCTTCGCCGTCCTGTTCGTAAGCGACTGTAGAGACGGTACCCTTTCGCTCGGAAGGTGTGTATCCAGCCTGGCCCTGGCCTTCTCTCCTGCGTTGCCATCGTCCGAATCGTCTTCGATCGTGTCGGCTTCAAGACCGATGTCGTCGCCTGAAGCGGCGCAACTCTTAGAAGTTAGAACTGAAAGTTCCAGCAGCGGTAGAAGGAACTAAGCAGAGTCAATCACCTTGAACATAAAAGTGATTGCGAGCAAAGGATGTGCCAGGACACCGTTCTGATCCGCTTTCGTGGTCCATTCTGGATCGGCTTCGAGCCCTCAGCAGGGGAAGTCCAGCGGATCATGCTCCGGTGAATTCTTACTCGCGCTTCGCCACAGTCGCTCCAGGATCTGCAGACAGCTCTTTCACTGCAACCAAACAGCCGATATCCTTGTCTTCGTAAATGCTGTTGACGACATCATTCAAGAAGGAATCGTACTCATCTGAAGCGGGGTCGCGATTTACAGACATGACATGTGCATGAAAACAAGCACAGCCATCAACAGCAAAGCAAACGAACCCAGCACAGATGCAGCCTTCATTTTCCACGTCCGCCATCAGCCCTGGTTCAAGCACTTTCTAGTAAGGTCTTTGGCCTATGGAACACAAGAAGAACATCTTCGTGTGACTGAAACGAGATACGACAACAAACCAATGCTCTGGGCTGATCAATCTCAACGAGCGACGGAAGCGATGTCAATGGTGGCCTGACCTCTTCCGTCAGCTACCCCGTCTACCCACGCTCCACACCACATTTGTTTGTGCTTAACGGGCGCTTGTGAAGCTTGCTGCGGAAGGCTGCACTTCCCTCGCGCAAAGCAAGCTTGGATCTGTTGAGTAAGAAACCGAACAAAACCGGTGTGTCTGACACCCTCACGCCGCCCGGCCTATTTCGTCATCTACGTCCTCGTCCTCCTCGCGGGTGATCGCAGCATTGCCTCCGAAAATACTCGTTGTGAAGGTCGTCGTGGAAGAGTCTATCCTTACAGTCGCGAGATGATCGGTTTAAATGGTGTCATGCACCCATTCTATGACGACCTCTTGCATTGAAATCCAGACTAGAACTTTGTACCCTAAATACAGGTCCCTGTCATCCGTGTTGGACACAAGTCAAAAGCTCATTGTCCTTTTCAAGCACGGAAGCCCTTCGACAGCGGTGGACCAAACCTAAGCCTGTGGCCGGAGTCCTGAAGATTTTCCCCCGCCAGATTTTGCAATCGACAATCGGAAACCACCTCTGACTCAGACATACCACACCAACGATTGCTGATTATGAAGCGAATTACCAAATTCAAAGCTGCCCAAGCCAGAAGAAGCATAAAGCCACGCGAAATGCCAACAAGATGAATGAAAGTTAGGCGATCCGACAACACGAAGGAAAAAAGGCAAGAGGAAGCGGAAGAGGGCTCCGACCGTGGCTGACTCCCGCTTGGCCTCTCAGTTCAGCTCGCTGCACTTACCAGCGCAGTTGAGCAGCGGAGCCCCATCGTTGGCCGTCTCGTCCAAGGCTTTCTTGCGCAGCTTGCAGCACCTGTCGCACGGGACTGCGGACATTCATCAATACACATAGAGAGGACGTCCAAAGACCGTGCAGAACAAGGAACATGTCCAAGTTCAGGTCGCCACTCGACAGTTTGCACTGACGTGAGCAGTATAAGGGATTCTTGCATCTGACCTGACCGAGCTCAGTGACATGCGCTGCACCGCTGCGTTGCACACCGGCAAGGCATCACCATGCTCGCCTCAGCATAATCCCAGAGGCAATCCTCATTGCCTCAGTCAACTAAACAGGCAAAACCGAATGAGATGCGCCAAATGCTGCCGACGTCATCCTCTTTGCCAACCAGGGAGCGTGTTGGTCGAAACTTCTTGACTGTCAATCGGCAACTCTGTTTGATCTTCAAGTCTCCGAAACGGTACTTGTACGCCTTGGCAGCTAAGAGGGCGAATTCAGCTCCGGTGATTAAACATCAAATTGAACCCTTGTTCTTAAGAATGCTGAACAGACCGCCAAGTAGCACAAGCGTACTTGGGCTCGCATCGAGCTTTGCGAAAGTTCCATGAGCAATCTTCATCTGTGAGAGGCACCTGCCGCATTCTTTGGCATGCAACTGTGCTCGAGTGAAGGGGAAACTGCTTGCTTGCTGCTTGACGGTCCTGGGCATGGGCAGGTGCAGAAGCTTCGTCAGGATCCTTCCACATGACGACAGCTTGGGGTAAGTTCTGCCACGACATTGCGAGACAACGGCTTGGAGGACATCAAGACAGAGTTCCCCCGTGACGGTCTTCGCAGCCTATGGCACGTATGGACTAGAACAGACTGCCCGGTAAGCGTCAGCTCGCAATCGAAAGCCTTTGGCAAGCTACAGGCAACAAAAAACTCCTCTTAACTGCTACTCGGAAGAATCAACTCCTAATGATTCCTCACGGACGGATGCCGGATTGCAATAACGTAGTGCTTGCTGTAAACTCTTGCGTATGCTTGCTATTATTGGATTCGAACCTCGGGCACCTTACGCTGGAGATTTACGGCTGGGGCTGGGTCCATGGATGTGCAGAGACTTTGCTGAAGCCCAGGAGCATCTGCTCACCGTGTCAGTGTCCTTCTTCAGCTGCTTCCTGCTCTTCTCCTTTTTCAGCTGTTTTCGCGCGTGTCCGGCCTGGCACTTGCAATCAGTAATCGCCCGTGTCTCAGACAGTCTCAATCAAGACAGATCTGCAGCTCTACAGCAACATCATCAAAATCAGGAAAAGCAACTTGGTCCGTAGGATGCAGGACGAAAATGCAGACTTGAGATCAACCAGGATCTCTGCTCAACGCGATGGCCCTAGTACCAAGGAGACCTTCATGAAAAGTCACAGCCTGAAAAAAATCATCAAACTCGCAGTCAGAAAATAAGAAATTGTGTGCGGATAGAAGTGAGGACAAGTGCTAGCTGCGTTGGGGAAATAGTTTTGGATGCTTCGAGCCTCAATTCACAGACATCAAACTAACTTGTGCGTCGGGTAAGGCAGGTATCTACCGCGAGTCAGTTTAGAAGGCTGCACTGTGGCACTGCCGATCACGAAAGTTACCAGCATCAAGGAGGAGCCATGGAGTGTCAGATGAGAAACCTTCGCAAAAAAGAATGCACAGAGCCTGCATCCTCATCAAAGTTTCCAAGTGTTGTCGTGTGTCAGGGTCGTTCAAGACATGTTCCTGGGTGGCTGAGATTCGAAACATGAAGATGAAGGAAAGCAGCCACATCTGCAGTGCGTTGCGGCTGCGACGCTTAGCAACCGAGCAACTGCCAGCCCTTCTTGCTTGAGTTTGCCAACCTCCTCGTGCCGTCTGGCCCTGTCCAACTGGAAATCCGACGTGTCAAACCAACCAGTTTGCCAGTGGTTCCGGCCTGGCTGCTTCTCCATACTTCTCCCTGGCGTGGATGCTCTTCGCCTCGGAACTCTGGCCCTCTCTTCAGAGATGAAACTCGACCTTGCTGAAGTGCCTGAACCCCTGCAATACCCTGCAAGCTCACAGGCCTGTGCAGCCAGCAGCTCTGCGGTGTCAGGATCCAGGGGACAGCAGCCCAAATCCTGCAGCTGACGAGCTTGACTAAGGCCTGACGAATAGTGGACAGGCCAACACCAACACTACGTCAGACACGCTTGCTGTGCCTGACAACCCAGTTGCCAGGCCAGCTCCATAGTGACGTCCTCAGATGCAAGTCTGGGGGGGCAACCATGCGACTACCTGCCTGCACAGGTGCAACTCTGCAGCTGATGAGAACCAACAGCCACATTCACAAAGCCATGGATGCCGAATGTAGTGTAAAGGCATTGCATAATGGACGACTTCAAGAAACCATTCGGAAGTAGGTGGCGCTGCATCCCAACAGACGTGAAGGAACATTACGGAAGGGTTTGCGGCTACAGTGCAGTAGATCTGGCAAAATGCAAGTAGCATCGCTGCAGGCAATGCTACGGACGGAGCATCAATAAGTCAAGCCGCATTGCCCCGATGCTCCATGCTCTTCTTGAGAGTTGACTGCACGCCCTCGTCCTCCTGCCGCACTGCCAGGCATGGCTGGTGTGCTCACACTGTCGGAATCCAATTTATCCACATGGTAGTTCCTGTTCGGCAGGTTCATCTACACTTGAGTTTGCATAAAAAACACGCGACTTGTCCAAGCGATCGGGATGTCGTTGGTGCCAGCACGGCTTTCACTGCCATATGCTGGCATGTCGGACTGCGTCTTGTTTAAGTTTGTGGGCAGCCTTGCATTTTTGTTCAACTGTCCTTCCAGTCACAACCTGTTGTGGCCCCTCATGCTGTATCAAAGCAGCATGTCATGCAAGGATCCCGTGCACACAGCTTTATCTCAGGAGACACATTATCTTGCAACACCCCTGATCCAACATCCGTGGTGCGCGGATAAGAAACCACTTTGCGCACTGGAAGCACCGGCTCGTGCCCTACAACAACCGATTCAGGCGCTGCATTACGCACGGTGGAGTCGCACCAGGGCTGGGTGCGTACAGTTGATGGCAGATTCGCACGTTGAAACAGAAGATGAAGCTGGGAAATTATCACATTGGTTCACATTGAACTCCAACACTGAAAAACCCTGAAAACCCTGAACCGCACGCACAAAACCCCTGAACCCCGAAAGAAGATGCACATAACAGATTAGCTTGTCGCCTGTGCCGGCACGGTCCCTAGCGCTTGCGCTTCTTGTTTACGTTTGCTGGCTCGGCCTAAGTGCTTCGCCCGAACTTCCGTCCGAAGTGTCCCTATGACTGCATGCATAAAGAGAGCCCCTACAATCTGAAAAACCTCAAAAAAGCTAAACCGTCGACCAGTCAATGACAGACTCCCTGAGCCATGAACCCTCAAAACTCTGAATCCCTAACGCTCCACACGACTTTGAACCTGGAAAACCTCAACCCTAAAATTCTAAAAAGAGGCATGTTAATGAGTTAAGCACTGCAACCGTGGCAATCTCGCGAACGGAGCCGCTACATCCGCGAGTGCACACACACACACACACACCGTATTCGCTCACCGGAAAACTTCGTACACTGACTGGACCTGTACGACACGAACCCTGCACCATAAACGCTAAAAGCCCTAAGTCGCGAAGCCGTCAAAGCTGAAACACTTCACCCTGCATGCCACACCTGAAAACCGGAACAGTCCCAAAACCTAAACCGCAGAAACTCTATACCCTAAACCCGAAAAAAACACCTGTCGGACCCTCAATGTCGCAAACGTGGGAACTAATGCATGCCATGGGCAGTCGAAGCCTGAAACTCCAAAAGCTTCTAAACCGTAAGGCCCTGATCCATAGAATCTCACCGGTGGAACCCTAACCCTGGATCGTAGAAACCCCAAAGCCCGAAAAATGACAACCGTTAAAATCGAAAAAAACCTCAGAAAAACTTACCAGGATCGCGTGAGGTGAAAGTCACATTGTGGTTGAATCGCAGGTGCTTGAATTGTTGTGGTAATTTTTATTCCTTTGTGCTTCAGTCGTGAGCGAGTGGACCTCGTCTCACCCTGATCTTAAGTGACGAGGCGGAAAGCCAAGGTCACATCGTTCACTCAGCATCGTTGGCTGGTGCTGTACATTGCATGTGTGCCTCCAGCCTTTTTCCGGCCGAAGACAGAAAACGCACCATGTCTGCTTCACGACGGGAAGCCGCAGTCTTTTGGCGAGCCCAGTTCTGCCGATCGGCACCCATGCATCGTGATGCACAGTGCCTCCTGGCAGTTTCGTCTGCAATCTCGTTCAGCTTTCTGCAGTGAAGGGCGTCGTAGCCGTCAGGAGGCTTCCAGTGAGGTTGTTTGCCGTGAGACGGCACCCAACACAGAGCCACGAGAGTTTGTCGCATTCGGATGTTCTTAAGAGCGGTGTAAGCTTTCTGAGCCAGGAGAGGGAGACAGCAACTGCTCGGCGAGCACACAGCTTTCAAAGCAGACTCACAATCCACTAGCACAGTCACCTTGCGTGGCAAACTCGGCAGCGCAGCCAGGACTTCAAACAGGTAAGCCAAAGCCAGAAGCTCCATGCGAAAGGGTGACTGATCTTCTTGCTCATCAGCGCCTGCGAAACGGAAGTCAGGGTCGCCCGAAACAACCGCAAAAGAGCCAATGTCATCCTGAGAACTGCCATCGGTTGCCAAGGTGAGCTGTTCCGCCGAAGCTTGGATGGCATGTCGAAGCATGTCGCTCAGCGTCAGGCCTTGTTGAGGAAGTACACTAGGTGCAGGCGGGTACTCTCGCAAGGGAGCACCACACAGGCGCTCCTCCACTCGGTCTGCAGGTGCAGGCAGAGCTGGCCTCACGTCCTGCAAAGCTGGACAAGTCCACAGCAAGTGGGCACGGCTCGGCCAGTTTTTGCCACACATACAGGCAACGGTTGTCTTGATGCGCATACGAGTAGCATGGAACCAAGCTTGGCCGGCCGTAGCCAAAGCTGCACGTCGGTCCGCTTGCTGTCCATGGCGATAGACCTCCAAGTGGCCGGCGAAAGCGTATCTCGTGCCAGGGGCGGGCATCGGGAGGCTTAAACCAACCGCAAGGGAGGGGTCGTGCCTATGCAAAGACCTAGCTATCCTACCGCACGCAAAAGTGGCTCGCAGTTTGTGATGATCAACCAACCAGCTCCTTAGCACTTTGGGTGAGTCGGTGCCAAGGTGGTAAACCCGGTGCTGGCCATTATCATCACGTCTGGTGATGGTTTTGGCATGCGGGTCTAACTGCCATCGCAATTGCTGGAGCACCTGGTTTGCAGCAGGAAGCCCATTACACCGACTGGCCTGAATTTCAGCAAGGGTGAGGGACTCAGGCAATTCAGTCACGGACGTGAGCAATCTCTCAGCTGCTCGCAGCGCGGCCCAATCAGCGAGCCATTGCACATCAAGCTCCCAGCCCAGAACCTGCCCTACCAGGATCCGGGGTGCTTCCTGAGTGAGGCTTCGCTGAAAAGCGTAACGAACCGAATTGGCGATTTTATCCAACGAGCTGGGATCCGGAAGCGCAACTCCCGCCGCCCAAAACAGTGCAGGGAAAATCAAGGACTTAAGGAGCAGGGCCTTAATCCCTAAACCAAACCCCGTGTTTGCAGCAAGTCGTGCCCGCACCTGAAGCTTTTCCAGGTTGAGCTTCAGCAGTCCCGCCTGACCACTCTCAGGCAGGAGTTGGATGCCCAGGAAGTCCAGGGAGCTAGCTCTCTCATAGCCACGGCGGGTGGCCGACGAGTGCCACGGGCCATGCTGGGCGATGGTAACCAAACAACACTTCTTGGCACGGCACGTCAGACCTGCAGCTCGATCAAACTCATCACTTTTGGCTAAAGCTTGCTGTGCGTCTTGCGGTGTGGCACTGTCTCCAGGGCTCCACAGGCATCTATCGTCAACGAAAATGCCACACTCCACACGAGGGCTGACTACGTACTCGGTCCAAAGGAACCCCAACCCAAGACTAAGCAAAGGACTAAGGGGGCACCCCTGCAGCAAGCCCGTATTGGCATGTTGCCAATTCGAGCTGGTCACACCACCAGCGGTGAACAGCCGTTCCTGTCGCGCGTAAAACCCCTCGACCAAAGCCGTGAGGTGAGGCGGCGCACCAAGTTTTTGCAAGACACGACTTATGATCTGGCAAGAAATCGCATCAAAGTAGGCATGCAGGTCTTGCTGGACAAAGTTTCGTGCGCCAGCAGCCCAGGCATCATAAATGCGTTTATGGAAATCCGCAGTGGATCGACCGGGAGCTCCACCCGATGCTCTGTGGCTGCACCACGTGGCAGTCCACGGACGAAGACGTTTCACTATTGCACGGGCGCCCGCTCTCCATGCTGCCGAGACCAATGCAATAGGTCTCGTCTCGTTGACGCGCTTGTCTAAAAGGATAACAGCCGATCGCTGCCACTGCCTAGGAACCCGGCCTGTTTGAATCACGGTGTTCCAGAGCTGGGCAAACAGCTGCCACCAATCAGCCGGGAGTTTTTCCAGCTCTGCCGCGCGCCACTGATCCGGGCCCGGGGCTTTCCGTCGCATTGTTGTGGTAATTGACCTCGCCTCTTGTGCTGGAACCGCTCGGTGCTTGAGTTGCGATTGTACTCGCATCGCACATGCTTGAATTGCACGTACTTCAACTGCACATGCTTGAATCGCAGTGCCTTCATTGCGGCCAGTTCTCGCATCGCACTTGAACTTGATCCTGTTCATGATCTCTGTTAGCTGACTTTAGTCGACGCATACCATGTCTCATGCAGCACCCACTGGCAAACCGGACGGCCGGCACAAGCCAAACAGCAATTGACTACGTCTACCTGTCCGATTTCGCCACCACTTCTGGGTTCAGAAGCGAATTTTCAAGCTGCAAACGCATCACCGAAAGAGCGTCCAGGGGCTTCTCCGTACATCTCTCAGAAGCTGCGATGTGGCAATGAATATCCTGGACCCTCCCACAACACAATGGCAGCTAGCGTGTCAGGAGAAGCAGTTCTGGTCGTCTTAATCATTCTGAGGAGAGCTGCGACCCGTCCTGCTTGACTCTCGCAGCGAACTGCTTGCAACGGATGCGGCTTGCCGTCCTTGCGACTTGCGAGTAGGAGTGGAAGTTGCAATGGCGCGTGATTCATGCAACAGCTTCTCGTTCATCACAGAGCTCCTAAAATCGCAGGTATGTGTACCAGTTGCCAAATCACACCGAACGGCCACACAGCGACAAAGCATAAGAAGATTTCATGCTCTGACTTCGCCGCTAGCTTTGTCGCCGAACAACCGTATGCTTTCCGAGACTCGTCTCGGCGGTAGAGCACTGCGTCATATCCTCAGCGAAAGCATGACATGGGATGCAAGAGCGGGAGAAAGCAGCAACTGTTTCACCATGCCTGCTAGGCTGTCCCCGTCTGGCAGCCCAGCAACCTTCAAGCTGGACTCGAGGAAGTTGTAGCATGCGGAGCATTTTTCTGCGCTGAAGCTGGTTGTATTCCTTTGGGGGCGAAAGATGTGATCGCCAGGCTCTGGAAGACAGCTTGCCTGGGTTTCGCTGCAGGGGCTTCGCTGGCACCAGCAACTCTCGCACTGCTGAAAATGCTGCGCGACGTGAGCTTCTGCTTGAACAGGCGACACAGACAGAAAGTGTTGAAGAAAGAGCCGAGCACATGAATGCTCTCGCAGCAGAACTGCAGCAACGAGGCAAGCAACAAGTCATCAATGGACCGTGACGAGATTCTGAGTTGAACCAAATTGAACCAACCAAGGGACTAATCGTGGGACACTTGCAAAGAAACGCAGCTGGGTCGGATTCTTCAGCTGCTCCTTGCCAGAACGTTAAAGTGCATCCATGTTAAGAAAAGCCGTGATCAAAAAGCACGATTTCGGTGGTCCTCCAAGGGAAGAGGCTCTATCCGCCTGTAGCGGATAGGACGATGCGGCAGTTGCAGAAAAATCTACGCATGGACCCACGGCATGGCGACCTACCCCGAGCTCGCCTGAAGGTGACCGTGGAACCGTCCCCGTGCATCCTAAAGTGACAATCGACAGGATACCATCGAGCATTGGAACACATGCTACTCAAGTTCATGGTCTTTTCGCAAATTACAGATCCGAGGATCACCAAACGCTTTTTGATAGGCAGGTGCAGTTCGATCTCTTTGTCAGGATCTCGTAGTAGATGCGAAAAAGTGAACCTGAAGTTCAAGTCCCCCAACCCCCATCGCGCGGATTTGACACAAGAAACCATGTTGGACGAAGACTGCACGCTCAACGGCAAACACGCTTTCTTCACCACATTCCTTCTCCATTGGTGCGCGCTTGCAGCCAGCTTCTTTGTCACGGCATGGATGCTAGCACTAGCAACTAACTAGTGAAGGCAAGACGCGAGGAGGTGTGGAGCTCTGTCGTCCGATATTTAGAAATCGGCCTCCGGCAATCGTGTCAACGAATGGAAGACCCTCAGCATGAAAAACATCAAGAACCAGGAGAAAATATCAAGCCATCTGACAAGCAGTGCGACGGCACGAGCAGCTGCAACTGCAAGTTACAACCTAAAGCCGTCTCCCACCAGACGAGCCTGGTGTCACTCCGAGTACCACAGGAATCTTCCAAGACCAAGGACACCGACGTTCCAATGCACGTCACCGAGTAATCCACCTTGCAGCCACCTGCGAACTACAGTTGTCTAATATCAGAGGAGATCATGCCATGAATCTCTCGGCGCTGCGGGGCACAGTATACAAGCTTCTTGCAATCAAAGAGCCGTAACTCTTTGTCACTATGCGATTTCCTGAGCTGAAGTACCACGCAGAGATGTGGCAAGGTGTCAAATGCTGCGACAATAAAGTGCTCGCCGCGCATCCATTCCAGGAGGAGATCTTGACCAAATCAAACTCGCCCTGGTTAAGACTGCCTCGCGCTGATTCGTCAACGCGAAAAACGCCCATGACTACCCATGTGTCAAGGTAGCATGCCTGACGAGAACTTGCAAACCCTACTGCCATGCCTTAATGGTAGCTAGCTGCATCTAGCGGAATCGAATTCCACCCGTATTTCCCATTCTTGGCGACATCATGTTAAGCACATGCCAACTGCGGCCTGGTTCGCTGTACTCAATGCGTATGGCTTGCTCCTGCAGGCACCATCTCATTTCCATCAGTAGTACTGACATGCAAGTTGGAGATGAGCGGTTCACTGTCTGAGCAAATGAAAAAGCCGTCCCGTGGATGCAAATGCACCTTGACGGCATACCAACCTCGTCGCCTTCGTGCTGTAGGAAATGTGCGAATATCAATAACATATATATTTATACATATAATATATACATATATATATATATATATATACTCCATCTGATGCCACATGGACCTCCAAGGAGGCTGTGTTTAAGTGTAAAGCGGTGCCCATCCTCCAGCGAGCATGGCTCACGCTGCAGGCTGCGGACTGCATGCGCACTCCTTCAATGCAAAGCAGAGGGGTGCAAACAGAGAGACTGGTAAACCTCAAGCTGTTCCTTGCAAAGACTCATACTGCACTTTAGGTGGAGCTCCCAACAGCTTGCAGAGTCCCGAAGCCTAAATGCAGATCAACACAACATGAGCTTGTAGAATGCTCGTTCGTTCCCAACGAACTTTTCCAGATACATTGATCCAGCACCGGTCCTTGACAGGGCTGCGACTGCTGCAAGCAGCCAGCCCAGCACAGCATTTGCCATGAAACCACTTGGATGTAAAAGGATTTAACAAAAAACTCTCGCTGCAGAGCCCAAGCAGCCACAGCGGGGAGTTCATACTCTGGCTGAGTCCAAAACACAGGGGATAGCCCGCCCAAACATGAACTTTCGGTTTCCTCGCTCACCGCGAGACTTGCTTCTCCCAACTTCTGCAATCTCTACCTATGTCCGTCTAGACTTAGCGAGGTTCCTGCACATGGTGCGCATCCAGACCAGCCCCGTTCATTTCTCCGAGTATACCCTCGTTGAGAAGCTGCTGTACAGCCATGGTGCCCAGCTCCTCTGCATATGGGGGGCCTACACGGGCCAGTCTCTGCTAACCCACTTGTGTATCCGGCCCGAAGTCACCAGGTGTAGCTGAAAATGTAACAACAGCTTCATATGGGCCAACATCAAGCGGCCTGCAATGATCTTGTACGTCCTCCACACCTGCACAGCATCACCTTTCCCAAAAATCCTCGGAAAAGGGCGCGCTGTGTCAAAAGACTTCAGATATGAATCGAAGAGTTTCGTCTGAGTCTATTCAAGCGAAACCAAAACTGCCTCGACAGCTTCTGCGCCAGCTGATTTCACTTCCCCATAAGCTCCTGGCAACAATCGGTACAGCAGGTGTCTCGCTGGCGACAACGCGACAAGCCAGGGAATCCATGCCAAAACGTGGCAGCAGATCATAGCAGATCAAACTTTCCAGAAACAGCGGATTTCGGCTGGCTCCTTGATCTTGCCGTTCTTCAGGAGGGGCAGTGTCCCTCCCATGCCTCCGTCGTTGCAACCTGCGCACCAAAGTAATCAGCAGTGCAGTGCACACACTCATGTCGGAAGAACCAACTCATAAACAGTTCCTCGAGATGAACTATCGGAAGCCCCACGACTGGCATGAATCTGCTTGCAATAAAATTCCGTTTCAGCGGGCACGCTCGGACCACGTCTCCCAAGAATGAAAGGCGCTCCTCCAATGAAGTTCTGCTTGACGAAGACCTGGTAAGCCCAAATGTCTGCTGCATGTGACGACAGTGCAGGGTGTCAGGCCTTGGGGACGCTTGTAGAGCCACACTTGGCACTCAGGGCGCTTCGGTCAAAATCTTCCACGACCTTTGGCGTGTAGCCTCTGCACATGACAGCGAGAAGAGTCTATACAAACCGCATCGCCTGGCCAGCCCGAGCCTGCATCACGCAGAGCCGAGAGAGCTTGCCGACAGAAGGGGCAGCTGCTGCTCGAGAACACCACCATGTCCTCAAGCACATCGGGATCCCAGCTTCAGCCGCAAGCCGCAAGGCGCACGCCACAAGGCAAAGTGACCCCCCAACGCTGCTTGCGGCTTTCTGCGCCGTACTTAACTACTGAAGACCTGGGCACGACTCAGAGTCTAAGATTCTGAGCAACGGCGTGAAGCCACACAGGAAGCCCAACGAGCTGATCGGACGCGAAGTATGGTAATAAAAAGCCGTCGACAGAAAGATCTCATGCTCGCTGCGCTTATAGCTAAGCAGCGTTGGCGTTGATGTGCTCGTCGATCGATGCCGCCATGTTTGCAGAGTTCTGGCTGCTACTCCCAACAGGTGCTATTCCTTCGACTTTCTCAAAGGCCTGAACCAAGTTTTCGACCAAAGTTAAGCTGTCAAGAACACGGAGCTTCTCCTCAATCACAGCAGCAGGCACGACAACCCAGGGCACGAACTCTTCCGCCGGAGACCGGTCTCCCACAAGCCTATGCCGCCCCGGAGGGCACGTTCGAGCTCTTCAAAGGAGCTACCAGGCCGGCCTGCAGCACCAAACGCACTCCTGCTCGATTAAGATCAAGCTAGCTACTGGTATTATGTGAGACAAAGTGAGACACGACGGGACTCAGCCAGCGCATGTGGGGCGGCTCCTTGGTGCTGAGTTCTTTTGGGTTTGATGGAACACACATCGGCACTGCGGCTCAGCGACGGTGGCTGCAGGTGGTGGCACTGGAAAGGCGCTCCCAAGCGGTCCCACATCTCTATTACCTGGTACGGTGCAACACGTGCTGCATTCTCGCTGGCACTCTTCATGTGCAAGTCAAACAGCAATGTCATCCTGCAACGCATTGTTGTTAGTTGAAATATGTTGAAATCCTATGCGTGCTGGAGCAACCTTGGAGACGGTTCCCATGTTTATTGAGCACGGTACCTCGAAGACCTCGTCTGCAACTCCGAACACCATCGTGGCTACGATGAACAACACCTGCTGCTGCTGCTTCGGACAGCCGTGAAACGCACAGCTAGGACATGTGAAATCGATGGAAAGTGCTTGGCATCCTGCCGTACCCACGATCGTAGTCCGCTCCCAGAACGGAAGCGAGTTGTAACCGATCACCAGGTACCTGTAAACTGATGATGCCACTCATGCAGTCTGCACCGTTACAAGACTCGTGACAAGCGCTTTTTTGCTAGCTACACCAAAACAGGTCCAAGTCTAAACCCGAAACCCTTCAATGCTAAACCCTACATCCCGAAACTCTTAAAATCCCTAAACACCCTGAGTTCTACGCCCTTTGCGGTTCGCCTTACATCAGGCCTCAGCCCCGGTGGAAGAAACTACAGCTTTTTACAGGGCTCCGCCACACACCACATCGCACCACTCGGAGTGTGCTGCCACGGGCCTGCATCTTCCACCACCCAGTTCAGCCTCGTAGCTTGCAGAGGAACTTGTTTCTGTACCTGTGCCAGTACTTCAAGTATGCGATTGGCGACAAGAGCACGTGATGCTCCCTTCTGAGGAAGAAGCTTTCCTCCTTGTCACCATCACCACCGCACATGGCCACTTCTTCTGAACATGCCTTGACTGCCAGCGACAGCATTTCATGAAATTACGCTTGCCTCATCCACTCTCGGAGCAAGGAGCACCTGCAGCTCCAGCTCCATAGGCAAACTTTCATGCTCCTCGCTTCCGGCAACAACCTCTCGTCCTGGTGCAAAGCTGTGTTCAAGAGCATCCGAGTAGCCCTTGGTGGCTTTGCTGGGAAGAACCGATGCTGCATGAAGCACAAATGCTGCATGAAGCACAAGAAGGATGTACTGCCTCGTGCCAAGAGAAAGAAGGTGATCGGAAAGAGGAACCCAATCGGTCCTGCAACAGTGTGTCTGAAGAAAGAACCGGTGTTCTTCCATATACGTGGATGCTCCGTTCGGGGACGCTCAGGAAACTGACTGACAACAGTAGTCGTGGTCCCCCTAACACAAAGAGAACCGGGAAGGTTGCGGAATGTTGCGGAACACTCACCGTGCTCGGCCGAAGCCCTATCAAATTGCAGTCACTTGCACTCCAAATGCATCGACAAGCTCTGCGAAGGGCCGCCTGCGAAAAGCCCTCCGATGATGCCCAGCAGCTGGGAGAAGAAGGGTATCATGTTGGACCTGAAAATCCATGCACACGTCACTACAGACGACAGAAGTTGGGCATTTTAGCTGAGATGTCAGCACAACGAAGCCCATCAAGAGGAGGAGGACCCCTAAACCTCGTTTCAGCAAATGCCCCGGACGGCGTCATAGAGATTCCTGTACTAGTCAGGAGCAAATGCAACTCGGGGTGGCCTCCGTGCTGCAGGTACGAGCGAAATCCCCGTGCATCCACCTGGAAACGGCCCCTGCTCATTGCTGTGCTGTTGGCCGGTGCGGCGAGCCTGGTTCGGCTTCCAGCATCCATGCAAGAAGTGAACCAACACGACGCTTTTGATCCTCGGCCAAGTCTGGGAAAGCGCACGACCCTTCATGAACCTGAGCGACCGGCAAGTAGACGATCAGGACGTGGAGGAAGAGCATTGCTGCCGCAGCCTGGTAATTGATCCGGTGAGACTGGTGCTACCGGTGCTACCGGCTCGACAGAGGAGCTCTCGGCTCTGCGGCTGTTGAAAAAGATTAGGCTTCTCCAGGCCTGGAGCATCGGACCATGGGGCATGCCCGCGATCAAGTCGCCGGAACCCGATCCGAAACCATACCCCAGGCAGGCCTGACGAGCACATACGAGCACATGCCCAGGCAGCCGCTAATGATCCAACACTGTAAAGCCAGGTCACCACGGCCAGGTATGAGACGAGCATGAAAGGACCTGCAACAGACTGGCTCTGACCCACAGGAATCTTCCACATCTTCCCGGACTACTCTGAGGAATTAAAGCACATTCATGACTTACACCACCTGCAATGGAGAAGGACTTTGGAAAGTCCTGCAAGGCAATCAAAGTGCAACCTATCGGAAGATCAGATGTGCTACTCAGCGGAAGGAAATCCTCTGGAGTGGCCATGGTGTCCATCAGTTCAAAATACATCCACTGCCCGGCATAGCTGTAAACCACCTCAGATGCGAAAGACCATCAGCTTGTTCATGTTACATCAACTCATCCAAGCCACGTTTGTGGCAGCGCCCAGTACAACCATTCCACTCAAGCCTGGAGCAGTATGGATTTCCAACACCGATGTCGCTCTTCCGTCGTATCCAACAATCAGGAAGAACAAAGATTCATCGCCACCGCGAGCCTGGATCAAAATAGAAGGTGTGGGGACCTGAGTCATACAAGAAGATCGAACCACAAAGCAAAAAGCCAAGTCCAGCAACTCAGCTGTTGCTTGATGCTGCATGCGCATCTCTAAGAGTCAAGAGGCAAGGTGGCGCGGTTGTTCCAGCGCGGTACAGAGCAAGAACCTCGGTTGCCCGGGGTCCAAGCCCATTGAATGCACCTCAACCGGACCTGAGGGCAACACTATCACAGCTACGATGAGCAGCGAGTTAAAGAAAGCCAGTGGCACCTTCGGGCCGATGTGCATTCAAACTCGACTCTGCAGACATGCATGCGGCATCTCAGAAACGTGTGCCCAATGAAGCCAAGGGACGGACTCGCTGAGCCTGGGAAAATAAACGATCTCGAAACTCCTTCTGAGCATGTATCCACTCTGACTTACTCACCGATGTTTGCCTCGTGCAAGTGCAGACAAGCCACTTCCGAACTCCGAAAATTGGAACCAGCAAGGCCACAATAGTTAAAAGGACCGCTGCGGGAAGACAGAGCGGCAAGTCGTAGAGCGACATCCTCAGATGCTGCTTATTATGCTTGCAACAAACAGGCACGTTAGCACGGCCAAGGCTAAATGATTTGAGAATTTGTACCGATTCGAAGATGAGCCATGAGGCTGAAGCGCTCGTCCCATGACTAGCCTTTGCAGTCAAATCCACCAGCTCAGAACATCCGACATGAAATGATGACTCATGCATCTAGCATACTCTAACCAGCATGATTCAACTACGACAAACACAAACGTGTAGTGTCAGACGAGAAATGACCCGAATGCATCCGAGGAACATGTAAGAAGCTTGGCCCAAAGCAGTGTAGCCATAAACGATAATGATGACCTGAGTAGGTGGCATGATCACTTTGGGCAGCAACGAACAACAATCGATGGGTTTAACGATGGAAACGAACAACTGGTTCTGCTGACAACACTTCTGCTAGCTGCCAAGGCGCAATCTGCCCTGCTCGCTGGGAGTCGAAAACACAAGCTGCTATCTGCGGATGCCACACAGTCAGCAGAAGTCTTTGCTACAAAAACATAACTCTTCCAAGACTCTACGGTACATGTTTGGAATGACTTGAGGAACCAGCCTTTTCCCAAGAACCACGGGAATCTTGAGTAGCAAAAATACAATGGGCGCCTCTCCCATGGTGCCGAGACCAACCGTCTTGTCCGCACCGAGCATTCGACTCAATATACCACGTGTCCTCTGCAAGCACACTGTCCGTTTAGCAATTGGCCGCTACTAACAACGGCATCAACTTCACAAGCCAAGTACATGTGCACACCAGTGTGGCTCATAACGACTTTGCTTGCGCATGTTCGAGCCTGCTCATCAGCAAGGAGGAGTAAAGAGCCACCGGGAACAGCCCGCCAATGAAAGCAATCGTCAACACCCATCCCAATTTGGCCTCAGCGTGTGGACATGGGCTTGCAGTTCCGGTGATATGAGATCAAGGTGAAACTGGAAAATGACAGCGACATGTGGTCTTTTTGCCTACGAACGCCAGGGTCCGCACGGCAACACCGTTCAGTGTCAATACTGATGTTCCCACAATGTCAGATAACCTGCACGTAGAAGAATCAGTCATAGACCAAGGCTGGCGAGGGAAATTTGCAAACGAGGCGCATTAACCATGCGATATCTTTCCAACTAAGGCCCTCCTGAGAGTCGGAAAATGCATGATGCTCCACCTTCAAACAGCACTGAACACATGAGATATCCGATGCATGTCCTGCACAGCGGTTCTTGACGTGGAACGTTTCTTGATGTCTTCGTCAACATCGCTCATGGCTCCGATGTGCAACGCTGTGAAAGCAGTACAGGGCACCTGACATTCACAAGATCTGGAAACATCTACTTGCAGCACGACCATCTATGCATCATGGCTAGACCGAATCCCTGCCGAGCCGGTTCCAAAACATTCGACAACTACTCTGCCACACTGGTTGCAACGCTTCTCTGCCCAGCTACTTTTCACCTTGAACTGGAACCAGGTCGGCCGTGTGCCTCTGAATTTGCTACCAACCTCTGAAGATTGCTTCGGTGTATAATTACATGGATGCAAGCTCAGAGGGTCTTATAGGTTGCGGAGAAGTGCAATCAAACAAGAATGGAACACATGCTCCCATGCAGCTTTGAGCACAGACCTGAAATAAGTTTAGCCTGCTAGCATATAGTTTAGCCAGGGTCCACGAGCAACAAGATCAGATCGACTTAAAGCTTTGTGCACACGAACGATTGCGGACTGTTTGGCGAAGAAACCAAACCTGCTAGCTGGCTGTTTATGTGCGTTGCTGCCTCCGCTGGTCTTGCCTCTTCATCTAGATATCCCATCCCTCGCACTCGCAGAGGACCCACGCGCACAATCATTCTCTGCAGTTGTCAGGATTGGCGGTGCTGCTCGCGCTCGTCAATCTTCTGCTGGTCCGCGGGCGCGCGAAGCTTAATTCCAAGACTTTGCCACAGTTGAAGGTATGTCTCTCAAGCTATATTTTTTCGTAGTTAATATCTCAACTGATCACAAGCCTGCTTTTTCCTCTTGTCCAACTTCAAGCTTCCAAGCAATCGATGCCCTTCCGGATCACCAAGATTTCAGGCAGCCCGGTCCGGGGAAGGCTCACCACAGTCGTTCTCCAATGCTAAGATGTCGACGTAGCCAGACTTATGACAGACGGTTCAGCAAGTCATGCTGAAGACAGATGTAATCAAACCATTCGTGTCGGTCCGAAATGCACATTCAACTCCTGGGCCCAACTCCGTGGTAAAGATCTCAGCTTCGTGCTGGAAGGCCTGAAACAGCACAAACCTGGGCAATGGTGCGCAATAGGTCTTCGAGAAAACTGATATTAGCTGTGCGGTCATCATGGCATCCTTGCGTTCAACAGCATCAGCATCTTTGGTGACGCATAACCGCGAGACTTCGAGAACGTCTCCTTGCTGAAAGAATTTTTGCAGCTGCAACTTGTCAGACGTCGTGAGAAACTGTTGCATGGACCGACTTCCTGCCAGGGTATGTTCCAGGATTGCTGTAAACCCGAGCCGTAATGATCCAACAAGTTGCAAGGGCTGTCCAAGCTCATCCTTGGTGAAGATTAGTAAGTGATGGACGTCAGGCAACGCATCCACCATCTCCACGTCGACTTCATTGGGGTTGTCAGGAAGCCACTGCTTCTCCTTCACGATGAAGTCATACCGCAATCTGAAGTACATCTGATACTCGTCAACAGCAACATAGCGGATGTGATGTTTTAGACCAGGGAGCTGGTTTATGGCCGCTAGATCCAACACATGGCCGGTCATTGAGGCTAATCCAGCCGTCTTGTCCGAATCCTTCGTGGTCGTGGTCAAGAGCCTCAGCCCTGGGCGCACCAAAAAGAGACGGGCCGTCTAGCCTGGAAATCTGAGCCGGCGTGCATCACAAACGGTCGAGGCAGGATTCACCAAGCTTTGCGCACAAAATTGAAGTGCTGTGCTCCAGTCAGCAAGACACGTCTATCGCTCGACTGCCTGCACGACAAAATCTTTTCTTGGCCAAGTTCAGGTGTTCAATCAATGCGTTTAATCAATAATCGTCGGTAGGCTGTCATCGAGCAGCTGTCAAAACTCCGTGTAGCGAAATATGCGGAGAGAGAGAGAGAGAGAGAGAGAGAGAGAGGCGGAGAGAGACAGAGAGAGACAGAGAGAAAGAGAAAGAGAAAGAGAAAGAGAAAGAGAAGGAAAGAGAGAGAGGGAGAGAGAGAGAGAGAGAGAGAGAGAGAGAGACAGAGAGAGAGAGAGAGACAGAGAGAGAGAGAGAGAGAGAGAGAGAGAGAGAGACAGAGAGAGAGAGAGAGAGAGAGAGAGAGGGAGAGAGAGAGAGAGAGGGAGGGGAGAGAGCGAGAGAGGGAGAGAGGGAGAGAGGAGAGAGGGAGAGAGAGGGAGAGAGGGAGAGAGGGTGAGAGGGTGAGAGGGTGAGAGGGTGAGAGGGTGAGAGGGTGAGAGGGTGAGAGGGTGAGAGGGTGAGAGGGTGAGAGGGTTAGAGGGTGAGAGGGTGAGAGGGTGAGACGGTGAGAGGGTGAGAGGGTGAGAGGGTGAGAGGGTGAGAGGGTGAGAAGGTGAGAGGGTGAGAGGGTGAGAGGGTGAGAGGGTGAGAGGGTGAGCGTGAGCGTGAGAGTGAGAGTGAGAGTGGGAGTGAGAGTGAGAGGGAGAGTGAGTGAGTGAGTGAGTGAGTGAGTGAGCGATGTCAGTTGTGTATTTCTGCAGGGGTTCAGACAAGACGGTCATATTGAAATCTGGCATCGCCAGTGCGCCGCTTACGGCCTTCCAACTCGTAGTCCCTGATTCTCGGGTATGGACGATTGCTCATGCAACTCGATGCTGGCAGCCTGCCTGGCAGTTGTCCCCGTCTGAATGGTACAGAGAGCTGATGCACAGTGCAAGATTCAACGCATGGCCGGAGGCCAAGGAGGACTCCTGACTCATGACAAAAACTTGAAAAAGCACTTGCGACAGGGCAGAACCTGGTGCCCATATTAGCAAAATGTAGCAGGATGCAGCTTCGGACGCACCATCACTTCATCTCAGTAGATCCTACCAGAAATCTGAAAGCACATAGACAAGTTCTGAACAACAGTGCTTGCGGTGGCTGAAATCCTTCCACACCTTGGGCTGCATTCAGCTTTGCAAGTGACACAATGACATTAGGGCTATCCGGCTATGCCTCATGTTGCGGCAAGCCGTTTCGCTACCGGCATGTGCTCTAGGAAATGACCGTGCAATGACCATCTGGTGTGGCAAACGGACTGCCGTGTTTCACGATGATCGTGGGAAATCTTCATGACATGACACTGCTCAAATGCAGTTGATATATGAACTAGATGGTCTCTCATTCATGACGAAGCGAATTAGCATTAACTACGCTGAGGCCGCCTGCAACTAGAAGACTAGCTGACTAGCTGCAAGGCTCTTGGGAATCCGGCACCTCTATCTCCGCTTCAGATAAGGGCTCCGTGGCAGTGGCCCTACTACCATTGTCACTGGCCCCGGTATCTGCAATGATTGCAAACATCCAGCCGTAGCTGCCATGCCCAACTGAACGGCTACATTGCCTTTGGATGTAGGATGAATCGATAATGACGCATGTCGAGGCGGATGAGACAAGCATGGAGCTGCAGAAGTCCCACGCTGCAAGATTCAACGCATGGCCGGAGGCCAAGGAGGACTCCTGACTCATGACAAAAACTTGAAAAAGCACTTGCGACAGGGCAGAACCTGGTGCCCATATTAGCAAAATGTAGCAGGATGCAGCTTCGGACGCACCATCACTTCATCTCAGTAGATCCTACCAGAAATCTGAAAGCACATAGACAAGTTCTGAACAACAGTGCTTGCGGTGGCTGAAATCCTTCCACACCTTGGGCTGCATTCAGCTTTGCAAGTGACACAATGACATTAGGGCTATCCGGCTATGCCTCATGTTGCGGCAAGCCGTTTCGCTACCGGCATGTGCTCTAGGAAATGACCGTGCAATGACCATCTGGTGTGGCAAACGGACTGCCGTGTTTCACGATGATCGTGGGAAATCTTCATGACATGACACTGCTCAAAGGCAGTTGATATATGAACTAGATGGTCTCTCATTCATGACGAAGCGAATTAGCATTAACTACGCCGAGGCCGCCTGCAACTAGAAGACTAGCTGCAAGGCTCTTGGGAATCCGGCACCTCTATCTCCGCTTCAGATAAGGGCTCCGTGGCAGTGGCCCTACTACCATTGTCACTGGCCCCGGTATCTGCAATGATTGCAAACATCCAGCCGTAGCTGCCATGCCCAACTGAACGGCTACATTGCCTTTGGATGTAGGATGAATCGATAATGACGCATGTCGAGGCGGATGAGACAAGCATGGAGCTGCAGAAGTCCCACGCTGCAAGATTCAACGCATGGCCGGAGGCCAAGGAGGACTCCTGACTCATGACAAAAACTTGAAAAAGCACTTGCGACAGGGCAGAACCTGGTGCCCATATTAGCAAAATGTAGCAGGATGCAGCTTCGGACGCACCATCACTTCATCTCAGTAGATCCTACCAGAAATCTGAAAGCACATAGACAAGTTCTGAACAACAGTGCTTGCGGTGGCTGAAATCCTTCCACACCTTGGGCTGCATTCAGCTTTGCAAGTGACACAATGACATTAGGGCTATCCGGCTATGCCTCATGTTGCGGCAAGCCGTTTCGCTACCGGCATGTGCTCTAGGAAATGACCGTGCAATGACCATCTGGTGTGGCAAACGGACTGCCGTGTTTCACGATGATCGTGGGAAATCTTCATGACATGACACTGCTCAAAGGCAGTTGATATATGAACTAGATGGTCTCTCATTCATGACGAAGCGAATTAGCATTAACTACGCTGAGGCCGCCTGCAACTAGAAGACTAGCTGACTAGCTGCAAGGCTCTTGGGAATCCGGCACCTCTATCTCCGCTTGAGATATGTGGTCCATGGCAGTGGCCCTACTACCATTGTCACTGGCCCCGGTATCTGCAATGATTGCAAACATCCAGCCATAGCTGCCATGCCCAACTGAACGGCTACATTGCCTTTGGATGTAGGATGAACACACATGTCGACCATGCCGACATCATCTTTCCATGAACTCCACTGCACGGATATAACTCGCTCTCCACGGGCCTTCTTCCAGTACCTGGCTTGACCATCCAATGCTGCACAGGTTGTGGCATTGCTTGCCTGTCCTGCAGCAATCAGCAAAGATGAGGCGCATGAGACAAGCATGGAGAAGTCCCACGTTGTTGCACCCGCGTGGCGCAAGAAGTTCAAATGCCTGGCCCCCCACACTGTCGTCGAAAAGGACCGCTCCAAGTGGTCCCGAACAACGTTGGGCACGACCGCATCGTTGATAGTCTCGGCAAAGTGGAAGAGGCCTGCCATCTCTGTTTCCCTGGAACGGAGCTGACAGCCCAAAGCATGCACATCATCCATCATGGCGATGTCACAAGAGATGGCGTGAAGCTGCACACTCGAATCCTGCAAGGATTCCCACAGCTCGACGACGCTGGCGGAGGGCCGGCCGCTCTTTGACACCAAGGTGATTGACTTTGCACCCTCCTCCATCAGGTACTGCGCCATTGCAAGTGTGTGCGCTCCCATGGCACCGCTTAAGACATAGTCGGACTGTGGCTTTAGACTGAGCGCACTTGGCTGAGTCATGACGACTTGTCCGATGCTTTGGGACCTCTCCAGGCATTGCATTGCCTTTGCAAGTGATTGCAAATTGCAGAAGACCTGCATGTGCATAGGGTTCACAGCACCTGTCACAAAAGACCGCGAGTCTTCTAAACTATCTCATCTCGGCATAAACTTGGTAGACTGGCTTTGCATCTTGCAACTAACAAAATGGATGAGAAGTCTAACGGAACGCGATGCCGTGCGACGTGACTAAGTCTTTCCCATGCATGAACCTTGCTGCTGCACAAACTTATCTTGCTCGAATGCTTGCACAGGACCAGGGGCGGTCGTTTTGAGTTTGCATGACGTGCAGGGTGGAGGACATGGGTCAAACTGGGTCAGGAGGGGAGGGGCCACAGAGGAGGGGGCAAGGATCACATGGAAAGAGGCCACTTTGACAATCCTTCATCCGCACACAAGCGTCAGATTTATGCTCAGTTATCATCTGACACAGACGGACAACGAAACTGAAACATTTCTAAGGTACCCCTTGGCCACCCGGCAATATGTATGGGGATGCTAAGCCATGATGTTGCTAACCCCACCTGCCTTGCTCAATCCGGCTGATGAGGCGCTGCATGTAGGCATTGTAATGCCATGGCTCCTTCGACATCATGGTGTACATGTCCACTTGGTGGTAGTGAACATCTGGCCTGGCTTGGAGGATCTGCTGACGATTCCCTGTACCACTTGTACCAATGTCAACAAATCGCCCGCCCTTCCGCAGAAGAGCAAGGGACCGGGAAAGGTAGTCGTCGTGACGCAAGCAGTTCATCACAACATCAATGCCGTCGGAGCCCGCTTCGGTGAGGAAGACCTCCAAAAGAGGGCGTGCAATCATGGACTTGAAGCCAACGTTTTCATATCTCTCTACTTACAAGGCGTCAATCATATTAGCGGCTGCTTTCGCCTAGCCAGTCAGAGTCCGTCTCAGCTAGTTGACCCCTGTTGAAACACTTCTGACAAGGTAAGGTCGGATTTTTGTGTAGCACTGACACAGCTCCAAGAAATGCTTCATGAGACCTCCGCCTCTCTGCCTTTTGCCCTTGGACAAAAATGCCGGAAACTGATAGATTGCAAACTTGTGTATCGGCCGTGTGAAGACCGCCCGTCTCGTTGCACAAGCCGCTCTAAGATACACGGAACGCTTGGTGCGAGACTGCTAAGCTTGGTGAGGAGACCAGCGCTGCAATTTCGTTAGACGCCTGTGATACAGTCAGAACTTTGGCTTGTTTGCACCTCCACGTGTCTCAGTGTCTCAAACTGAGTTTCAGTCGTCATGCATATGCTGGAGCATGTAATTAGTCAGGTCTCCGCGTTCAACAATCGGAGAAGACATAGACTTGCCCAGGGAACAGTTGCAAAATGTACGCTGGCAAGTGTGCTAATCAGCTGTAGAAGTGTCACAAAAGGCATGTACACATCCGGACCTTGATGTCTTCGGAAAACTTGGGACCGTTCTGGCTGCTCGTGATGAACTGTATTCCGATGCGACCGAGGAAGTTGTGCTGATCTTCCGAGTTAACTGTGGCGTAGACCTGCAAAAGCTGCCACTTGCACAAGGCAAACGAGTTCAACAAGGTTGCACGAGACGAGTGCATGGCACCAAGTGCCTGAGCTCCAACGTACTGCGCGCACTGGATGGCCATGAGGCCAGTTCCACCAGAAGCGGCGTGTACAAGTACATGCTCGCCAGGCTGCAAATTTGCGTCGTCGAAAGCTTTCTCTACGGCAACGAAATTAGATGGCAGGCAACATGCCTCAGAACAAAACCACAAGAGGTGCGTGCGCCCAAAGACCTACAACCTGCACAAGCTGCATACCAAGACACTTGTGCAAATGACAAATGTCGTGGCTTGGGGATCAACAACGTTGCGGGACCCGAGTTGTAGGCTTTGAAGCAACCCGGCGAAGCGCCAAATACGTCTTCGGCGCGGCCTGCCAATCGCTGACCACGGCAATATGATGCAAACGTGAAGCTCCCGGGAAGTAACTCCAAGATGTGCTGCACACATTAGCAGTAGCCAAGCCACGAATGTGTGAAACAACACCGCCTGTTGCCAAAACCGTACCTCCAGTCCCAAAACAAAGCTACGTAGCCTTTTGGAGTCATGTCAGTAGCAAGGATAATATTGGTGTACCATGCAAGCAACTTAGGGCCCGGACCGGCGCAATCTAGTCCGATAGGTCTCGCGTCACCCTCATGCAGACCTAGGCAATCCGAACATGCTAGTAGCTGAGAGATAGTGCCATGGTAAAACCAGAAGTCCCATAAGGTAAGCATCGGGCCTTTTATGGCCATGAGATCATGTATGCCGAGGCCAACTGCGCGGATTCGTATTTCTGCGTCAGTCGGCTGGAGGGTGCATCGCGAGTCCTGGACTTTCAGCCTTGTGCCAGGTTCATGTTTGCGAAGTTGAAAAGTCTTGGCAGTAACACCTGCTGTCGATTACTACAGAGACCACTGTGCCCCCGGCTGCTGCAGGAAAGTACCATTCCGAAAGGACACGGAGGCTTGCATCGGCTCGGGAGTCTTGGCGGCGCTGCGGACGAGCCGTGGTACAACAGCCCGTGGATGGGCACCTGTGGGGGCGGCAACCAGTCCACAACTTGTAAAATAATGAGGGGATTTATGGCTAAGGGCCAAGGGCCCACAAAACGCAGCAGTTGTTGGTACATCTGCACTGCCGTTCCGAAAACCCGCAAGGCCCCGGAGGATGAGACTTTTCAAGTGGTCAAAATCTACAGGAAGTGCTCACGAAGCGCGGAAGATAGTTCGGCCTCTTGAAGCTAATTGGGCAAATCAAAAGGGCCGCTGCCTGCCTGAGGTTCATCACATCTTGCCTCCTAAATGACACCAAAATCTTCCCACGATGAACCATTTGCGACACCAATCGGGAAACGATCAATGGATGAAAGTCATACGTGATGCCAGATCGATTGTGGAGCCTATTGCGTTCGCGGCTATAGTTGAGGAACTAATACGAGACAGCACGGGATCAAGCAAGTGCGTCAACAGCCTTGCTTGTGTAGCAGTAACCATGTTTGGCGTACCGATGCAACTACTGGAGCACGGATAACAGCATGCCAGAGCATCACCGAAAGAGACAAGCCAATTCCAACATTGAATCCAAGGCACAGCTCGTGTCGGCTTCGGGCGGGTTGACGATTGAGACTTCCGTCTCGTCCCTGTTTTCTCCCAGAATCGAGAGCCAATACTTGAGGTCACTTGCCAAAGACCCGGGTGCAAAGCCGTCCAGGTCTAGGCACCGGAGCTGCAATGACGGCTCCTCCACACGGACAGTCCTCGCGAGACCCCAAAGGCCTGAGTGCCAGCAGTTGGGGATGGTAGCCTCCTGCGTGCCGCTTGTCACCCACCAAACTGGCGGAATGCTGAGATTGGAAGCTGCTCGCTGCATAGCAACCTGTGCCACATCCGGTGTCTTAAACACCTTTTGAATAAAAGGAATGTTTGAAAAGCAAAAGCTGAAGTAATGTAGCACATGTCATGTCAGATTGCCGTCGAACGCAACCGACCAAAAAATGCACAAGCATCTCTGCGCCTTTGCCAGAAGCAAAGCAGACTCCAGAGCATCGAGCTCGCTGCACTGCTCAAGAGCGGCGACGTGGACCACGGCTTTGAAAACGCCCTCCTCCAGCTTGTTTTCCAGAATCTCCTGCAAAGCCTCCCGGCAGAGTATGATCGGCCTAGCACTTACAAGTGTACTTTAGCAAACAAGGAACAATCTAGACCGGCCTCAGCTTTGCCGACATAAACAGACTCTGGGAACTTGCACTTGAGGTCTGGCTGCATTTCGTCGCGAAGACCAACGAACATCATTGGACCAATGGTCGGGACCTGACCAGAGATGCGTTTTGCTAGGAATTGACACCTGCCCGATGCTCGTGTATCTGGGTTTCTCAATTGTTCTACTGAGGTCTAAGTCCCTGGAACAGACATCAATAGCGGCCGCTGATTAGCTTCCCTCACCTCAGCATTAGCCATGTTCAGCGGGATGTCCAAGTCTACCCACTGGACTTCGAGGAGGACCTGGCCCATCCGCAGACGCATCGCAAACAACATCCGTGATCCTCATGATACCTTCATCGCAGAAGTATGTTGCAAGACGTCTTTCTACAACGACTGTGAGCAAAAAACTACAGAGCCTGCATTCAAGAGGACCGGCTTTCACATCAGCATTTCAACAGCGGAGCATGATGGTCTGCAGGAAGGAATAATATTCCAACTGTAGCGTATCAAGGCCAAGCCGAGACTAGGATCGTCCCCGTTTAACCAACGAACATAAGACATGAAAGACCAGGACACCACGCCTCTGCATTTTGCGGAGTGGTTGCTTCCGAGCTCGGTGGAGCCTTCAGATGCAGCTCAGATTGAAAATATTGCACGAGCCGTTTTCCAACAACGTCGACGGGTAGCGGCAGCACCGCACTTTCAAGAAAACGAGTAACAGGTTATACTCGTCTTCATCATGCGACTGATAATCAAGGCAACGCAGCTTGTGACCAATTCTAGCCACAGTGTGGCCGTAAACGTGCCACTATGGTTCACCGTAGAGCGAGTTGTGGTAATGATCATGGCGATGACAACCACCCATGCAAACATAGTGTCATCATTAATATGCTAAGAATATGTGGAACAATTGTCATGCGTCACTACCAATATGAGCACCGGACAAAATCACTGCCGCCATTGTCCGAATGGACTAGGACCCCTGTACATCCCTAATGGGACAACAAGTCAGCCAGGGGCTCTCAGAAGTACATGACGAACTCCTCTGAACTGTAATGCCCTTAAAGCACAATGGAGATCGCTGCAACGCTATTGAAGTTTGAGGTACAGCTCAACAGAAACATGGCCCAAGCAGCAGTACTTTCCAACATCCCGTCCCCATTACATTGAACAGGCCGCTAGTATGAAAAAAGCACTGTTTCCAGATCCAAATTGCCAAAGAAACTATGCGTGTAACTCGTGTTCGCCGCCCTTTTTTGAACAGTGAATACTACTCTGAAGAGGACAGACCTGCCCAAACACCCGTACTTTCTGCCTCAGCCCTCATAACCACCCATATCCCAAACCTTAATTTCTGCTGTTGAGCCCAACCCTCAATCAAGGAATTGTGTTTATTATGTTCTATTAACAGTCCGGAAACATGAAAACCACAGGTTCCCACAGTGTCCCCCTCCCGAGAAGAGGACGCTGTGGGAACCTGTTTTTGGATAGGTTCCTACACGTTCTCTTCCAAAAACCTGGCTTGATTCATCCCAGATCAAATGCCCACGGAGGGTTGCTTGGGCCCAAGCAGTGCCTCAGGGGGTTTTCATTTCTAGGGGATGCAGCGTCGGGCCCATACGGCCAAGCAAAATCGCGGATCCGACCCGCCGCATCCGTCGAGCAGGTTGTCATTCTTGAGCAGCGCACGGCTTGGAATTTACAAGGGTGGCACTTGCGACAACTTGAAACATGCGGTTTCCCCATATGTCGGGTGTATTCAAGATCGCTACCGAAGTCCGTTCCCCCAAGTACTGCCGCAATTTAACTACACGCCACCACACACGCAGCCCCATTTCTCACACCGATACCATCCGGACGCGCTGCCGACACCGAGAGGGCTGCCAATTCGAGAACGACGTGCGAGCATGTGTTGGAATTTGCAAGGGATCGCGCCGACCCAAGAAGCAGACACGCCGTCCCCACGCAGAGGGTTGCCGGGAGAGCACCGAGAGATTAAGGAGTGACGGGATTCGCGACGACCGCGATGATGCTTTCCCGGTTTGACTGGCGGGATTCAGAAGGACGCCCAACATCCTTCAATTGCACAAGGTGGTCCAACCATTATAAATTTCCAACGAATTTCGGAGACTGATGTCCACCGCGATCCTGTGCAAACAATAAGACGGGACAAAATGTGCACCGCAGCACGGCAGCAATAGCGTCATTCACAGATTCTCTTTCAAAAACGCAGGTACGCCAACAAGTTCTTACATGTAAGACAAGAAGCCCATGACCCATAGTCTTGCCACACTGCTGCCACACGCTTGGGCGCTTGGGAATTATAGAAGATCATCGGCAAAAATTAGGGATGAGCCCAGAGGATAAACAACGTCCAAAAGAAAAAACATCACATCATTTAGGATCAGGGTTTAAGATACCGTATGTACGTGCATGATGAGGGCCTAAAACCTGCCGGCCGGCCCTTGTGTAAGTGCGAATTTGCAAGCTCAGCTCATGGAAAACTGATTTCCGAGCTGCGCAGCAAAACGAATCTTCTTGCCTGCACATCCACGTCGTTCTCGTCGACATTGCTTGGGACAGGCGTTTCGATCTTCTCCTTGGTGATCACAAAGATTGCTCTGGTGAGGCGCATCACTCCCAACAGTTTCGCCCTCAAGCATCAGGCCGGCCTCTTCGATGTGGCTGCTCCCAACGTTGCTCAGTTGGGAGGCAACAAACAAGCCTGAGCTCGCGATCTTATGGGAGATGCAATGCCAACATCCCAACAATCAAATATGGCCAGCATTGAACTCAATTGATTACCGTTGCTGCGCATACTGCTGCCTCGCAGGAGCTGATGCCGTGATAAATCGATGTTGTTGACAACAGCCGAGATGTGGCACAAAGCCAGTTCACAAGTAGCTGCTGTGACTTAACTCTGCTACGAACACCACAGAAGGTCCTAGTCTGGAGGATGGCGGCGAGAGTACAAGTTGGATTGCTCAGGTTCAGGCTGTGCAATACACAGGTATGCGAAAGCTTGAACCCAGCTTCGTCAATTTGAGACAGTCTGCTCTGTCCGTCGCATTGTATCAACATTGACTTCAATTCTGCCATACTCCATGCATGATGACGTCGACCAGCGATGCAAAATACTTAGCAATGCTTCTTGCTACCAGTAGTGTCCAGGCGGCCGATTGCTGCAGGAGTTGGGTGATCGAAGACCAGCGTGCTGGGAATTTGCACTCCGGGAGCATGTATGTGCAGCCGGTTCCGGAATTCCACAGCCTGAGCAAATGATAAAACACACACACACACACGCTCACTGACTGTGCGAAACCGCACCAACTACATCCGTTTACACCCAATGCTCTGTTCCACAGAGCTCCCGGCCGAAAGTGAATCCATCCCGGCATCCAGCAGCTGATCCTCCCAGTTAGCAAACATCACAAACTGCGCCTGGAAACCACATCATGGAGTGCGTTGAAGCATGGATACCCAGGCAATGGCAATTTCTGCTTGGAAGCCTCAGGCAGCACCACTGTCTTTGGAGCACGCGCTCCACCCCACCGATCCAACGATCAATCCTCATAAACTGCCCCTGCCCACTCTTGTGCACAAGCCTTTCCTAAGCATCTTTTTTGTTTTAAGCACTTAGAGCGCCAGCCATTCCTCAATGCAACATGCCTTGCAACTGCAGCTCTGGGGAGGGTTCAACTTGCAACACAGAATGCAGCACCAGCCAAATTTAAGTCCGTAATTATGGGCTGTTGCCTTTAGAATTCCGGGTCCCTGAAAGCGTAAGCGTTGAACGCTCTCTTCTCGCGCCTCATAAACACAAGAAAGGGAGGGGTTTCAACGTTTACAGATCATGTCGACTTTGGCTGCTGGATTCACGAGGAAATTCAAATCATTCCGTATCGCATTGCACAATGCTAGATTTTGGCTAAGCTGAAGGGTTTGGCAAGACCTTGGCCTGGCCTTATTCTTGGCTTTCCACGCTCTTAGCATAATGTCGCCGTCTCCTGCACTCCAAGAGCAGTGCCTGTGACGTCACTCGCGATCTGCAGCACCAGCGATTCCACCTGTGCGTGGTGATAGCATCAGACTTGACTCCTAGCAAACCTAACCCGGCCTGAGCTGCATCCATGGAAATGTCAGCCACCTCGCTTCCGACCTGGGGTGATCCAAACATGCTGGCAACGAAGGCCCCCAGCAGATTCAACATCCGAGCTACGCCGAGTCCATGTGGCATCGAGCCACCGCTTGTGGCAACATGTGAGAAACCTGCCATTCAGGAAAGCACAACGGGGGCAAAGGAGGTCAATGCATGAGGACTGCATTCTGCACACAAGAAAGTGCTCGTGTAGCAACCGGACTGCGTGACCCTGCAAACAGCTTTCACCAGTTCCTGTAACTCGCAAGAAGCGTCCCCATGCAATCGACTGCAGCTGCGGGACCGGAGTAGAATGGCGGCGCCGACTTGCCAAACCTTGACAGCTTTCGCACTGTTGAGATATGCCTGGGCTTATGACTTGGCCGGCGGTGCCGAGCGGCTGCTTGAGGTATTGCTGCCAGTAGAAGGGGCATGCTGCCACCACACTGTTTGAAGCATGCAGACATGCTGCAAGGGCCGCCATTCCAACCTTTGGCCATAAAGGTGACAAAAGGAATGAACTTACAGCAACAGGAGCCACTCGCAAAGAATCGATGTTGCATGATGAAGGCAAGAAACCTCGTTCCCAATGCTGCCTAGCCCCTTTGCCTTCAGGCGTGCAGTGGCACCCGTCTCTGTGGCCATGCCTGCTTCACGCCACGGACCCCACTGCACGGACACCACGCGCTCGCCCAAGGCCTCAAATCTCAGTCATATTGGCATGACAAGCCTGAAATTCTGCGACCCTCTGTCCCGGTCCTTCCAGCAGTGCGCGTGAGCGTCCAGGGCAGCATTAGCGGCTGAGTAGTTGCCCTGGCCAGGCGAGCCCAAGAGGGCGGAAACTGATGAGAAAAGCACCGCGAAGTCCAGAATCGCAACGGAGGTCTCAGCCAGGCAGGAGTGCAAGTGTCGGGCACCCCAAACCTTTGCTCCATAGGACCGCGCCAAATGCGCAAAGGTGAGATTAGGGAAAGTGGCGTCGTCAAGGATGGCAGCTAAGTGAATGAACCCTCGAACCGCGTGAGTTGTCTCCACTGAGCTTTTCAAAGTCGCCACCAGCCCCTCCACCTCGTCGCGGTGGGCCACGTCGCAGGCCTTGATCAGGATCTCAATGTCAAAGCTCTCTAGCCTCTTCCAAGCCTCTCTCAAGTCATGGTTAACGACTCCCCGGCGGGAGAGCAGCACCATAGACTTGGCACCTTCTTCCGCCATCATCTCAGAAGTGACCAAGCCTAGGGCACCAAGGCCTCCACTCAGAAGGTACGTGCCATCTGCGCGGCAGCCCATGCGCGACGGCTGCGTCAGCACAACCTTGCCGATGTGCTGCGCGCGCTGCATGTACCGCAGCGCCTCAACTCCGGAGCCAAGGCCTTCGTAGAGAGTCAGCGGCACCTGCTCCCACAGACCCTCCTCGACCTGGGGTTGGCCAGAAAGGAATGAAAGAGTGCACTAGCAACCTACGTCGATCCCACCGACCACCCCTGCACCTCCTAGCACAAAGAGTGGGCGGACTGAAAAGCTTCGTTTTATCAGTGGCGGCAGATCCCTGTAGCCCGGAGATGCCTAGCTTCGAGCTAGCAAAACTCCAGGGAGGGTTGGGTGGGTACTCTGAAAAACTTCTACCCCCCAAAGGGGTTCTAGCCGTAACGGCGACGGATAGAACACATTTAGCGAAAACACCTTCGATGTTTTAGCTGTCGACACCTTCGATGTCGAAGGAGGAACTTCGGGTTGCTAGCACACACAGTTGTCCCTCGTCCCTCGTTACAAGAAGCGTGCACTAGCAACCTACGTCGATCCCACCGACCACCCCTGCACCTCCTAGCACAAAGAGTGGGCGGACTGAAAAGCTTCGTTTTATCAGTGGCGGCAGATCCCTGTAGCCCGGAGATGCCTAGCTTCGAGCTAGCAAAACTCCTAGCAACGCCACTCGGGCTACCAGGGTTCTAACTTCTTGGGCTTCTTTCTGAAACGCATCGGTTTCACCGACCTAGCTGCTTTCCTCTTCTTAACTTCTCCGAAAAAGCTTGCAGAGTGTTCTAGCAGCTTGCCCAAGACGCGCCACCGAAGTTCGCTGCCAACTAGCGGGACCCGGAACTCTGGGGAGAAGTGATCAAACTTCTCGTTCGTCAGGTCGTCTGCTAGCTGGTTCAGGTCACGGCGGACCCACTGTAGCTGGAGTTCGCAGTTTCTAGCTTCCAGCTCTTCCGCTAGCTCCATAAGGACTAGCCCCGAGGGAAACTTTGTGGTCATAAGCTTCTTTAGCAGAGCTTCGTTGGACTGGTTGTCCGTATAGCCTCTTAGAGCCACACGGGACAAAGTCCTAGCCCTGCCCTCTGGGATCCAGAGCCGAACTGCCACAAGGGTGGCCAGTAGCTCTAGAGCCGCAATGACCTTGTTGGGGTCACCTTTAGCGAAAGCCCAAGGTGCCCAATCAGCCTCCACTTCTAGCGAGAACCAAGGGCCCTGGCAGCCGGGAACTAGCTCCAAGAAACCCCCGATCCAGGCCCGGCCCGCCTCGGCCTTAGCGTCGGTGAAGAAGCTGAGCGGCGCCTCCGTCACTTCTAACGGGGTCGGCTGCTGTAGCCGGTCACCCTTCTCCAGGCGGTCTGCGATCCAACTACAGAGCACTCTTATCATGGTGGGCAACTTTAGCGGACCTTGGCAACCTTGCACCGCCGAGGACCAGGCATATAGCGGTCCGAGAAAAGGCTTCTCCCAATCTAGGGACATCGCCGCAAATCCCAGCCTGCCTAGGCCCTGCGCCATTTCTTTGGCCGTGATGTAGCCAGCTGTAACGGTGTTCCGTAGCCAGGAGACCAGCCAGCCTGCTCTTTTTGCCGAAAGCCCCAGGCGGTGGCTAGCGTACTCGGTCTCCATGCCTAGCCACTCCACCCGGAAGCCCCCTCTCGACTTGGCCCACTTGAAGGGGAAGCCCAGACTAGCGAAGTAAAGGTAGCTGAGCGGGATCCCCTGTCTCCCCTTTGGGCCACAGCCTAGCGACTCCAGGTCGTCCGCATATAGCAACATGTCTATCGGATACTCTGGTCCCACTAGGTGGTGGACTAGTCTCAGACCGCAGGCGGCGATCCTCGACCACCAATAGCTCGCGCAGGAGAGGCCAAAGGTGCCTACCAGATTGACGTAGACCGTCTGTGTAGCGGGGTCCCCCGGGACCTCTTCCTCTAGGCTTATCTGGCATGCCAGGTAGCCGTGCTCCTTGCTCTGGTGCTTGTAGCGGCGGTGGGCTTTAGCAATGTCGCCAACAACCGAAAAGGCCACCTTCTTCTCCGCTAGCATCTCCCGGAGCAACTGCTTCTTCTCCCGGGCTCCTGGAGCACGTAGCTTATCACGACATTTAATGCGGTGGTTGACTCTCACACCATGAGTAGCATCATGGATGATGCGCTTCTTGTTAGCTGCCTCGTCCTCAACGATGACGGCTAGAGCAGCTATAGCTCGGTGGTCGCCGTACTTCTCGACAAACTCGCCTAGAGTCATCTTTAGCATGAGGCCCTCGGCTACGTCCTCGTCGAACTTCTCCTTAGCAAAGGACCTGTGTTCGTCGACCGAGGTGTAGTTAGGGACCCACGCTAGCGAAGCCTCCCAGGGAGCATTCTCCAACGGCCACTTTAGCTGCTCCTCATAGACGTGAGGTGTGCGAGGTAGCGGGTCGAGGATCCCCACAGGAAGTCCTGTCTCCGCCGCCAGGAGGAACTCTCTATCCGGGTCCCCCGCAGCCTCTAGCAGCGCTCGCATGAGCCGAAGATAGAGAGGCTGGCCCTCCGCCACTTCTAGCAGCTTCGGGTCTGTAAGGTCTTGGGCCTCTAGCCACTCGGAGCCAAGCTTTCCAAGGACCACCTCCTTCATCCTGCTCCGTAGCCAGTCCCAGTTCTTGCCGCTAGCGAGGTTCCGACGCTCCGGTGGCCAACGGCCAGGGGAACAGAGTCCCCTGCCGTCGTGAAAATCTTTGTAGCCACCTACCTGCCAGCAGAGACGGGGTGGTCCATGACCTCCTTGTAGCCTAGGGCCCTCCGGTTGGCAAACAGGATAAGCCGTCGGAGTAGCTTGCGGGTGCTCCTTAGCGGGAGCTCCCAAAGTCTCGCCGCAAGCAGTCGAAGCTGAGGCCACCGTGTGGAGCACCAAGGCTGCTAGCCAGCTGCACATTTGTGGTGGCCAAGCCGCCGTGCCTGTGGTAGCGAAGCCAGTAGAGGTCCTGCGCGCCAAGAGACCCGGCTCGCGGCTTGCAGGAGGCAAGGGCCCCGTGTAGTAGCCGTCAGGGTCAAAGGCGGGCAGCGCTTCGTAGCAGCAGTCAGGCAGATGCAGAGGTGTCTTCAGCAGCAGTCGGGTTGGCTTGCTGTAGCTGGTACCAAAAGAGCGCTGCTGAAATGCTGCTGTGCGGAAGCCTGCCGAAAGTAGCGCAGGAACCTGGGGCCATTGCCACATGGACGCGGGTCTCTGGCCCTTGTACGGCCCGGAGCCTAGCGCACCTAAGTCCTCTGGCTGCTCTAGCACGAAGGCTGAGGCAGAGCGACCTCAAAAGAAAAATCAGCAAAAATGTTGCCCAATATAGCTCGGTCCCTTTGGGCTGCAGTGAGCTGCGCGTTGCCCCTGGGACAGGAGTAGCTTCTGACCGGCACCGGTCCACGGAAGTTCGCCCAGGCTGCTCTGGAGAAAGTAGCGCAAGGTGGCGAGAGCAAAATTGCATCGAACTCTCTAGCTGCGACCCGCTGCAAGTAGCAACTGCGAACCTTCTCTAGCGAGAGGTCATATCGCTTATCGCGCCGGATGTCTACGCACTCGACAGAGACGTCCAGACCCATAGCGGTAGCAGTGTGGTGAAGACACGTAGCCATATCCCATGGGCGAACCTCGCCCGCGAACAGGTAGAGGATCTTGTAGCTCCGCGGCGGGCTTCAGTTGGAGGGTTTGCCTCCGTCGCCTTTGGCGCCTCCCGAATTGGGGGTAGCGACAGGACGGCCGCCGGCTTTGCACTGGTAGGCCGGATGCTTAGCGAAACATAGCTGACACACATGCTTGAAGCGGCAAGCTTTCTTGTGCGGGCAGCCTTGCTTGCTATTGTAGCGAAAGCAAATTGCCTCGCCTTCCGGCGTTGTGCTAGCCCCATTAGCCACGCCTTTGCCCTTGCCCTCGCCCTTAGCGCCCTTAGCGCCCTTGCCTTTGCGTGGCTGTCGGATCCATGGGCTATCGGGCGGGGGGGCCGGGCGTTTAGCGTGAAGGGCCAGCGGCGTTGTGAAGTGCCGCTCCTTGAGGGCTGCATCCTTGTAGCTTTGCTTCAAGGCCTCTGCGAAGGAGAGGGACTGCTGGGCCATGAGCTTGTAGCTGTGTTTGCGGATCGCATGCTCGTAGCTGAGGACCAGATGCCACGGCGGAACCAGAGCACCGGAATCTTCACTAGATCGTAGCCCATAGCAAAATTCTCCCAGCAAGTATTCTTTATATTTTTCGAAGACAGCTTGCGTCACGTCCTTTAGCTCCGAGCGGGACGGGTGCTTTAGGCGGATCATGATCAAGGCATTGGCTAGCACTGTGAGGCGTAGCCGTAGCTGCTCTGGTCCAGAGGGCATCGTTGTGCGAGACCCGCCTTTCCTTAGCGAGAGGGTGCCTTTAGCATCCCAGGCGGGCAGCAGGACTTCGGGGTCGACTTCGTCGCGGCTAAGCACTTCTGTTAGCGGCTCGGCTCGAAATTCCCCGGTCTCTAGCTCGTGCAACTTCTTCTCGATATATTCTTTAGCAGGAACATGGCGGTCTTCGACTTCCCCGAACTGGGTAGCAAAGGCCTGTCTCATGGCGATGTAGTCCGTCTGTGGGATGGGTTTAGCCCAGTCCCGGACCTCACTCGTAGCTTCAGCTTCGGCCTGTGTCTTGACCCTAGCAGAAGCTGTCTGCCATGCCACAATGAAGCTAGCGATCTGGCCTCTGGAGGCTAGCGTGCCATCAGGAGCCATGGAGAAGGCGTCTTGAAGCACCTTGCGGAGATCTTCTTCGCTAGCAACAAAAGCAGCAAATTTTGCCATTGTATCGATGCCATTGTCGAAAAGTGTAGCCTGGTTAGCATCGCTGACCCTGTTCTGGGTCAACATGTGTCGGAGGTCAGATGCCCCTTTAGCCAGCTTGGCGGCGTCCGCTGCCATGGCTAGCCCGGAGGTCTTACACTAGGGAGGCCAGGAGAGCACAACAAGGCTTTAGCAGGTGCAGAGTGTAGGTAGCACAGCTCAAGCGGCCTGTTCCTGGCAACTTTCGGAGATCTAGCAAGATCCCCCTTCCCCAAACCCCCCCCCCCTCCCCTCCCCAGGCCCAGTGGGAAGGTGGGGAGGATGTGGTCGGGTCCCTCCTTTTGTGGGCGCCCCAGTTTTCCCCCCTAAAAGGCTTTGCCCCTTAGCGGAAAACCTCTCTCTCGCGCCTCCCTTCTTTCTGGCAAACGGAGTCCTAGCGCGACGGCCTTTATAGCGGGCCCGGAAGCGGAGTTAGCCGTGCATACACTGGGTGCACCAGTGAGCATGGTGGTCGTCTAGCGGCCACCACATGCGCCTGTTGCACATGTTAGCGTGGCAATTGGGGCACCGTATGATACATCTAAAAATATAGTTTCTATCGTCCCAACGGCCGAAGCCGAAGGTATCGTCCTCATCATTAGCGACATGTAGCGGGAAGGGCACGTCTCGCTGCATCCAGGTCGCCAGTTCTAGCGCCCGGCCGGTTGGAGGCATAGCACAGATCTGCTCCAAGTCGTAGCCCGTCAGGTCTTGTAGCCACGCAGGGTTGGTAGCATTGATCGGTGCCATCTTGTCTTTGCCTTTAGCGGAGCCCTTCCCCTTGCCCTTAGCTGCAGCCGGCGGCCCCTCCTCCAAGGTCCAGGTGCCTAGCGGCCACAGAGGCCGCGGCACTGACGACCAGGAGAGCTCTAGCAGGTTGCCGTCATCGCCCTGCGGCCGGCTGTTAGCATGGGCTCCCACTGGCGGTGGCATGACGAGCTCGACCGGCACAGTTGTGCCACGTAGCTCGGCCACGGAGCGGCTGTCATGTAGCGAAGTGAGAGGGCCATCGCGCAAGGTCGGTCTCATGGGCCTAGCCGCTAGCAGCACCACGTCCCAAGTGCGGTTGGGGTCTGGTAGCGCTGTGGGTGGCTGCTGCTGGCTGCCGCCCGACCTGCTTAGGCAGCAGCGGTTGGAGCGGCAGTAGCGGGGGCTGGGTCGTTGCTGCCCCGCGGTGCCTCAGCGGCTTTAGCGGCACTCTGTGTGGCATGGGCCAACTGTGCTCGCTCTAGCTCTTGCTGCTGCTTCTGCTGCATCTCCTCTAGCGTCTGGCGTAGCTGAGCCTCCTGGGCTTGCTGCTGCTTTAGCTGCTCTGCTTGGAACTCAGCTAGCAGCTCGGCCTGTCTCTTCTCTAGCTCCGCCAGATGCTGAGCCTTCATGGTAGCGAGGTCGATGACTTCTTCAGCCGGTAGCGGCTCCTGCTGAACGACTCCGTGGATCTTATCCACTAGCAGGGCCTTCTCGACCTCGTTTAGCTCCTTCTCCTCCTCCGCGGTGAGGTCGTCTAGCGAGGTCAAGCTCGCCAGCCAGTCAAGGCGGTTGTTGTAGCGGGACCCCACCGGGAAGCGTTGCTTGGAGGCCCCTTCCGTTGTAGCTGCTCGAAGGCCTAGCGGGACCTGGGCCTTCCGCACGATGTCCACTAGCGTCTGCAGCTCGTCCGGGTGCAGCCGAGCTCGGAGCACGCCTTCTAGCGTGTCATTGTCGGACTGCACCCAGTGCTTGACCGCTGTAGCGCAGTCGATTGCCGAGTGCTCTGTAGCGGGCACCTGTGAGCTAGCCATGCCGATGGCTGCTAGCTGTTGCTTCGCCAGGATTTACCTAGCACGGGTCTTCTCGAGAGAGAAAGCTGTAGCGAATGCGTCTCAAAGCTGCAGCACACTAGCGTACCCTTGCGCACTCACTGCCTGACCTAGCCCGCCTCGCAACCTTCGAAATGGGGCAGGGGACAAAAGGGAACCCCCGAGGCAAGCCTAGCACACACAGCGACAGCAAGGACATGTAGCAAGACCGCGGCAACATGTAGCGAAACGTGGTTCTCTCCTCTTCTGTCTTCTCCCCCGAGGAGACCCCCCCCCTAGCGAGAGAGCGAAGAAGAAGAGAAACAGGAACTCGTACCAAAATCTATTTTAGCGTGCGAATCAAACTTCTGTAGCCGTGGCAGTTGCCAGGCCCCCATTAGCCAGAGCATTTGTACTCCGGCCCGGGAAGCTATCAAGCAGCCAGTTCTACCTCTAGCTGCGGTTCATCCCCCGAGTGAGCCGAGGAGGTCTCCGACCCGTCTTCTAGCTCCCCGGCCGTGTCGTCTTGCTGGGGCCAGCAGAGGCGGCACACATGGGTGTACTCCGAGCTAGCTGGAAGGGCGTCAAAATTTTTAGCATTCCGAAAATAGCGGCGTTGGCCCATCCAGCATCCTTTCCCGCTAGCTTTATGCAGCCTAAAGACAGCCCCCGGCTGTCCCACGACCACATAAGCCGTCTGCCTGTCCTGCAGTCTAGCAGGCTTGGGTGCCCGCTCCTCGCTGGAGCTGCTGCTGTCCCCACTCGACGTGGAGGAGCTGCTTGAAGAGCTAGCACTGGACTCTAAAATCGGCGGGGCACCACTCCAGCCACCGGTCCATCTAGCTCCACATCCGTTTTCCAGGTGATTTCTAGCACCCGAGCCTGCCACTCAGCTTGTGCCGGCGGCAGCCCTTTCTTATCAACAAGCCAGTCCCGCAGCGAAGTGCCTATCTCGCGTTCGTCTAGCACCTCGCTGTGGCCTGGTCCTTTTGCAGCTTTGGCAAAAACTGCCTGCAGCCGGGCGACCCTTCCTGGGAAGGTTCTAGCATAAGTGTCGGAGCTCTCTGGCTTCCAACGTCCTAGCAAATCCTTGTCGGCAGGTGGCGTCTCTTGTAGCGAGAGGCCTGTTGGCAAGACCGACCGCTCACTATGCTCAGTCCAGAACCCTTGGACCACCGAGGGCAGACCAAGAAGATGTAGCAGTGCTGCTGTGGCCACCACTGCGTCCGGGTACTCCGCGATCTTGGTCTCTAGCATGCCTTGGCTACCCAGACGTGGGAGAAGGTAGTCCCGCTTGTAGGGTGCCCTTTCCTTTAGCAACTGGAAGCCGACTTGTAGCCACGTCTTGCGCTTGAAGAATGCGTGCTCAGATACACACACAGGCAGCTCCTTGACCTTCTTGTTGGGGCCGGAAGTTTTTGTCTTCCGTAGCGTGGTGGTTAGCCTCCCCTCCACTAGCCGTAGCTCATGTGGCAGAATGGCCTGAAGGTCGGACCACCTGAGTGTAGCCCATGTCTTCACCAGTTTGGCCCAGGCCCATATGCGATGCCCCACAGCTTGTGTAGCATCAGGACCAGATCTTCTAGCTTCACTAGGATGAAGACGGGGTAGCGTGGCGCCCTTTTCGTAAGAGGTGTTCCCTGTGAAAGCTCTTCTGTAATGCTGTCTCTAGCGGCCAGTGCAAGACGTCCTGCGGTAGCTCTTTCTTCAGCTGGAAACTCGCCGACCTTTTCCAGCCAAAGTATAGCACTGTAGATGGAAGCTGGTTTGGAGCGTCCACATGGTTCATCTCGCCGGACCACCAGATAGTCCACCAAGTCAGCAGGGCGGCCCGGCGGCTTTTTGACCTTAGCCTCCCAGAGCCATAGCCGCCACCTCTTGTAGGTAGTGAGGTAGCGCTTCAAGGTGGTGGCTCGCGTGCTGCCTGCTAGCATGCTGGCGGCACGTTGCGGATCCAGGCTGCTCTCAAGTTGATCTAGCACAGGTGCTCGGCATTCCCGGAGTTCTTCGTGTAGCCGAAGAGTCCACACCTCCAGAAGTTTCTCTCCCCTGGCTTGTAGCACACTTCCCTCTAGGATCAGCTTCCTGCGCCGTTCCCCGGGAGGGGGTCTAGCAGAATCTTCCTGCTCTTCCGGGTCCGCACCACGTAGCCTTTTCTCCGGCGGTTCCAAGGCCGCCCAGTAGAGAGGCTCCCGGTGGAATCCAGCCATTCTTATCTCGACTGGGGCTTTTCCTCTAGCTTCCTCGATCAAGAACTGGAGCAACCGTTCTAGCTCCGCACTGAAGGGGATCCTCAGCTCGAGGGCCAGTTGTTTAGCCAGGCCCGAAACGTCCTCGTCCCGTACCGTGGCTAGCTCCGGGTTGCGGAACCCCTGTTCTAGCAGGTAGTCGCGGCACCTCTGTAGCAGGAGGTTCCGGTGCTCCTCTTCCGGTTCCGGTGGCTGTGGCTGAGCGTCTAGCATTGCCTCCAACTCGGACAGAGCCGGACTATCCGGAACTTCCTCCACTTCCATAGCGGCGCGCGGGGGCCTAGCCCCCGTTTCCTTTCCTATAGTACTCTGAAAAACTTCTACCCCCCAAAGGGGTTCTAGCCGTAACGGCGACGGATAGAACACATTTAGCGAAAACACCTTCGATGTTTTAGCTGTCGACACCTTCGATGTCGAAGGAGGAACTTCGGGTTGCTAGCACACACAGTTGTCCCTCGTCCCTCGTTACAAGAAGCAACTCTAGGTTGACATGTAACCTAGGTGCTCGCTTTGTGTGTGTGTGTGTGTGTCATGATACAGTCACGAGCTCCAGACCAGACGCAACATCCGGTACACCGAAAATGAGCCACCAACAAACTGCTGGAGTTCCGGAAACTGGACAAGGCCTTTAGTAACACAACCGCACCACTGCTTCCATCGACTTATGTGTGCTCACAGCATCCCACAACTTGCGATGGAAGATTTTCGGCAACCTCGCCTGGCCAACGAGACGTGTCAGGAGCAGATTGAAGCGTTCGGGCTGGTACTCCATTACCCAGTCCATGGCGATCTTCTCGTACTGAACGTCCGGCCGCTCAAGGCGCATGCGTTCGTGGCTCCAGACACCTCTCTTGCCAATCTCCATGAAGCGCCCACCCTTCGAAAGAAAGGCGAGGGACTTGGGGATGAAGCCTTCGTGACTCAGACTGTTCAGAACTACATCCACGCCATCCTCGGCACCGTCCTTTTGCAGGAAGGTCTTCATATCCTCCTCGAATCGCTGGGCATCGCGGCTGCTGGTGATGTACTTCACGCCACGATCCCGCAGGTACTGCACCTTCTCAGGGCTCCCAGCAGTGGCGAAGATCGTCGCGCCCATGCGCTGTGCAAGCTGCACGGCCACAAGCCCCACTCCTCCAGTAGCTGCATGGATCAGCACCCTCTCACCAAGCTTCAAGGGCGCCAGCTCAACGAAGGCTTCCTCAGCAGTTGCGAAAGTAACTGGCCATGCCACCATCTGCTCGAAGGACCATCGCTTCGGCTTCGGAACCATAAGCAAGCCCTCCGTGCAAGCGAAAGCTTGCAGGCAGCCTGGGGCGATGCCAAAGACATCTCGCCCGGGACGAAGCCGTGTCTCTCGCTCTCCGACTCCACAAACGGTACCGGCACAATCACCACCTGGGTTGCCCGGGTCGCCGGGATACAAATCCATGACGTTCAGCACGTCCCAGAAGTTGAGGCCAACCGCACGGACGCGCAGTTCCACTTGATCTCCTTCCGGCGACGCACGCTGAAGGGGGACCTCACGAAGGTTGGACAGGCTCCCTCGCGACTTCATCTCCAGACGCATCGGCTTCTGTAGCTGCACTGGGCAGCGGCAGAGCCGGGGCACGTAGGGACCTCCACTGAGAGCTAGTTCGGTCTCGACTCCACCAACGCTGCCAAGCTGTTCCAAGATGACCTGCGCCGTAGCATCTGGGTCGTCTGGATCCAGCACATCCAGGTCAAAGCAGTACATGCTGATAGACGCATCTTCCAGTCGCGCGGTGCGCGCCAAACCCCACAAGCCAGCGTGCAAGTTGCTCCCGGCTCCACGGTTAGGCGCATCCTACAGAGAGAGCTGAGGAACGGAACGGTAAACAGCTTTGGCAAACCGTTCTGCGCGCCTGCGTTCCGAAGGTGAAGTAAGCGATCTTGGGCACATGATGGCCCTTGGCGGCGAGCGCCATGGCTGCCTCCAGGCTCATCAATAGAAAGCAGCTTGATGTAAATAGGCTAAAGACCGGCCTGCACCAAAAGCACTGCATCGAACAACACCCGCATTTCATCCGTGTCCTGTCACCACACAGGGGTGCCTACATCATGGTGAAACCGCAGCTGGGAGGAAGATGGATGTCCTGCAATGCCAAGAGTAGCACCGCAACCTCAATCCCTTCAAACGTCGAGTCCGCAGCTGTGTCAAGGAAACTGGCCTCGGCACCAGGCTGAAATTGCTGCAACAGCTCGAGGCCTACCGCCAATTCCAATGGTTTATGCCTCATGCTGCCGGAAGCCCCAGAATGCAAGACTAGCGATGTTGCTCAGGTGGACCAACTTCTGGGGAAAAATTATAAGTAAGTACAGTAAGTGCTGTTTCATTCTCATATAGTCTCATGCCGTTCTTGTGTGATACCCTCTGTGACTGTGGGTGGGAAACGTTGCTGAGACTCACTGCTTCTGGTGTCGTGATTTCGTTCTTGCGAGCATGTTCAGAGGAGCGTTCTTCTTCAGAAAGTTCCTGTCGCAGGAGCCTTCCTAATCGCCTTCCTAAGTGCATTCTCAAGAGTGCCTCTCGGAGCATTCCTAGCAATGTTCTCAGAGGGTTCCGGGACACTTCCCCAAAAGCTGTTCCGAGACGCCACCCAGGAGCTGCCCCACGAGACCCGAGAGCTTTGTTAGGAGTAAGCCTCCTAGGAGCTCCTAGACAAGGAGGGGCAATGTGCCACAGGAACGTCGCAGCAGAATCACAAGGCCCCGTGCCACACCATCTTCCACAGCCACGAGAACATGGCAAAAAAATATCTGTTTGTGATCCACTTACCCCTTGCCAGGATGAACACGCTCAACACACGGAAAAATAGCATGCTGTCCTGGCCTCAGGCAGCATGTTCTTCAAGGAACTGCTCAGCTTATCTGCAGCACCTTAGCCGAATCTGAGTAAGCCTCGAAACCACCCGGCATAAGCTACCAAATGACAGACCATGTCATCCCGTCAGCAGCGACAGAATCGTGGAGCTACACTGCTACACTCATCCTGGAGAAGCATGGGGCTAAGCACCGCGCCCACAAATGCGACACCGCTGCCAGTGGCACCGACTGCCTTTCCTGGGGATCCTTCTGCCACCGCCCACTCGACTGTCAAGATGTCCTCGACGTCCTCCACACCTTGCTCGAGCATCTTTGCCTTGACAGACCAAGAGTTGTTGCGTGTTGCATTAAGGGTTGCCCGTCGGAGCAATGGCCTCAGAGACCTCCCCTGATGCAGAGCCAGGTACAAGTTGCTCAGGCCGCACTTGGCGAAACCGCATGCGATCCTCCAGCAAAAAAACATGGCACGTTGTCACACATGTCCGTGGACCGTACTGACTAGATGGGGGCCATGAGTCCATAGCAAGCAAGCCGGTGGAGTCATCCCGCGCCATGTGCAACTGAAGCTCCTCAGATACATCGTGCTGCGCACACATATGTAGCCCTGTGACACTTTGCTGCCTGATTCTTTTTTCTGAGCTGGATGCCAATTCCGCTTCGGTGCGCTTCAGCAGAACATTGTGCACCCACGCCTCCCGCCAGCGTTCGGACATGTCTTGGTACGTGCGTGTCATCTTGCTTCAAGCTTTCAGACGCCGTCACCCGCTCAGAACTCGGGCAAAGTCTGCATCACCTCAACCCGAAGAGTCTCGGCCTGGTGCGAAAAGCCTTGGCCAAAGATCTGCACGCGGTTGGCGGCAAAAGGGACCATTGGAAACTCTTGCTCCTGTCACTCAGCAATTCACTGGGGCTACCAGCTGCGACACCATGTAGGTGGAAGTGCAGGGTGACACCAGGGGTAATCTGTGCTCACCCCCAAAAGAACCAACCGACGGGATTAGCTGAAGGGATCCATTCTCTGAGGATATCGCAACCTGCAGGTGTTGTCTCGTTGACGCCGCAGTGCTGACTCGAAAATGAAGCCATGCGCAGACTGAAACCAGCCTTGAGCTGACTTGGAGATTGAAGGCCCCCTTTATCTGGCCTCCACGCCAGGGAAGGCGCTGGCAGCTTGGAAAGCGCCGTCAATAACAGAAGGGCCTTAGCATGGCAGTACAACCAGGAAGCGAGTGATGCATCGTGCGTGCTGCTAGGGAGCCGAAGGCGAAGCCAGCGCTCGTGCCGTCTTCATGGGCTGCCACCCAGGCAAGGACTTCATCCTATGGGACTGAGATGAGACATGAATGCTGGTGGTTACGGCCGTTTGACATCGTGGCACAACTAGCAAGGCAAACCAGCAAACCCACGTAGGACCTAGCCATGAGCACCGTCACGGTTCGCACTTACCAACTTCTGCCGTGATTCCTGCGATCGAGCGATGCTGCGCACTGTTTGGAAGCGCTCTCGGTACTCCAGCCCGAGATTAGCAGCAAACACCTTCCACGCAAGTCCATCACTAGAAGCCACCGTGCATTGTCAGTTTGCTCGGTTCTACGTGCAGCCCAGCGAACGTAGAGTCCGGAAGCATCAACTTGTTCTGAACGCGAGCGGATCTCTTCGAGCGGCTGCTTGACGCTGCTGGAGCCCTGACTCTTACCAGCTTACGACATTACAGCTGATACAATTACAAGAAGAACCTGTTGCAGCACCCCTGCTGAAGCGCTACTCCACAGCTTTCAGCCAACATGCGGCGCCTGGTGGCTCAGGCTCAGAGAGCCTTGGGCATGTACGCCAACGATCATTGAAGATCCAGTTTCTACGCTGCTGATGGACCACCAACCAGCGCTCTCCTGAAAACACAAAAGTGCATCTGGCAACTGGAACGACCCCGCTGCTGCCCGAGGGCCTGCATCTGCAAGTAAAGATCCATTCCACTGTTCTCAGGATCCTGTCAGGGTTTTGTGAGGAAGCACATGGAAGCATGCAAGGCCTGTGCAATCATCGTCGATTGGTTTTCCCTTGCCTCGTCATCATCGCCGAGTCTCAGAATCATAGGCTTCAGGAAGAGAAATTCTTCCAATACGAAGCTTTTCTTGTCCCGGCCAGGCTGGCCGGACGCACATGCCGCGATCACCATCTCCACGTACGTTGCGCCTGCCGTCTCGGTCACGCACGCATCAATCACTGTTCGTTGTTCCTGTTGGGCACTCGCCACTGAAGCTACAAGTACCTTGGAGGTTGTTTTCGCAGCGGTTGCACCAGCAGGCCTGCCACAACGATCTCGCCGTGCACACGGTGATGCGACAGCAGCTTCAAAACTTTGCCCTGTATAGGCGCTGCAAAGACCGCAATGCCAGGCTCGGAGCCTCAGAATATCTCAGAGTTCGTAGCGGATTGCTCATGATGAAGGTAGACATGACAGAACTCCACGTGCACTGCAGCATGATGTGTGCCCGCGCCTTGGCGAGGAGCACTCACAAGCGGGTGCTTCGTGCGGGCCCAGCTGAAGCTGCGGCGATCAAAGGCCACAGGGTCCTAGCATCAGACGGTATCTGGCAGCATCTGGCACCCGTCATGAAACTTGCATTTGAAAGTTGACAGAAATGCTGTCCTTGCGCGACATCATGCTGCGGGACCAGATCAACGGAGTCCGAGCTTCTGCGGCAGACATCATTGCGTTCATCTCGTCTTTAGTCGCCTCCTGCATGTTCATGTGGCAGTTGGTGCCAGAGAACGCGAAGGAACTGATGCCAGACAAGCGCGTGCCCGGGCTCCAGTCCAGAAGGCCATCTGGCATCTTGCACTCAAACTCGGAGAGGTCTATGTTAGGGTTCAGCTGATGTAAGTGCAGATTGGCTGGTACCTGCCCGTGCTGCATCATCTTCACCAACTTTGCGAGTCCGACAATGCCTGCGGCACCCTCCGGATGAGCAGTCACGGACTTGACGGCAGCAAGAATGAGCTGGGCGCTCTCCAGCCGATCCCTGCCGTAGACATTCTTCAAAGCACCGATCTCGATGGGATCTCCCAAGGCAGTTCCTGTTCCATGGCACTCTATCAGCGACACCTGCAAAGGCGTGAGGTCTGAGTCGCGCAGGGAATTCTTGAGCGCACGCTGCTGAGCGGGTCCGCTGGGGGCCGTGATGGTAGCACTGCGACCATCCTGGTTCACGCAGCTTCCCATCATGTGCGCGAGGGTACCCTCGGATTTGGGGCTCAAAATCAAGGATCCGGAACCCTCCGAGCGGCCGAAACCATCAGCGCTCGCATCGAATGTCTTGCACCGACCATCGCCAGAGAGTGCCCCCATCTTGCAGAAACCGATCCAGGACGAGATGCCCTGCCGTAGCTGCAAGTTGGTCCCCGCCACGCAGGCCAACACCTGGCGACCGAGATGAAAGGCCTGCATTGCACAGTCCGAGGCCACCAGAGTTGAGGAGCAAGCAGTGTCGACAGTAAAGCAAGGGCCTCGAAGGGCAAGCGCATGTGAAACACGGCCAGCCATCCCGGACAAGCTAGAACCGATGTTGGTAAAGGGTCCAATGTCATCGACCTCTCCGGAATGAACGACGTGCGCGAATGCAAGGCTGCAGCAGCCTATGAACACTCCGCATTCCAAATTCACAAGCGTCTCTTTGGTGAAGCCCGAGTTATAGAAGCTCTCGAAGACGATCTCCATTTGCAGTCGATGGTGTGTGTCCATCGATCGTGCTTCCGGCTTTGCAATGCCGAAGAAGGCTGCATCAAACAAGTCCACATCATTGATGAATCCGCCTTGGCGGACGTATACATGCCCTGGAGCAGACCGGTCCTCATCGTAGAACTCAGCTGCATCGAACCGCTCGATGGGAATCCGTGAAATCGGATCCTGCCCACTGCAAAGGAAAGCCCAGAAGTCGGAGATGTCGTTGCCAGCTGCCATGCCTGGATATCTCCCTGCGATTCCAATGAGGCGCAAGGGCTCCCGAAGAATCGCCTCAAGCCCTTTCACATCTACATTGGCACTGTCGTCGTCTGGTGCGAACTGTGAAAGAATGAAGTCAGTCAGATCGGCCACGGTGGGATAATCAAACATCACCGTAGAACTCAATCGCACTCCTTCGAAGCAACATTGGATGCGGTTGCGGAATTCAACTGCTGCAAGAGAATCCAGGCCCATGTCCATCAGTGGAACGGAGAAGTTATCGATGTCTTCTCCTAACACCTCCTTGAGCACATTCTCGATACCCGTACGAACCAGGTCGGGCGAAGGTGCTGAACCTTTGACCAGCAACTTGCCGCCCGTTACATCCTTGGCAGCGTACCGGAAGTTGTCCAGAAAGCTCGGAACTTCCGGCAAACGGGACAAGAAGGAGCGCCAGTTGACGCGAGCCACTGCCACCACACTCGAACGGTCCAGCTTTGTCCCCAGAATGCTTTCCATGGCGTGCAAGCCTTCGTCCAAGCCAACTCGATGCACCACGTTCTCGGAGGTACCAGCCTTGAAACGAACATGAGATGTTAATGCAAACATGTTTAATCCTTTTCCTGGGCCCTTGGGGATCTCATGTGTCTCATGCTCTACCCGAACAACCATTGCTCAGTTCCAATCACTACAATGACAATCAATTACAATCAAGTCACTGCAGCAACAACAACATCAGCACTGACTTGCACCCCAATCACACCCCAAGATCATTTCTGGAAGACGACTTACACTGCTAGAAGCGGTGTCAACAGCGACACGAAAGAACACAGAAAGGAAAAGATGGCACAGCTGCTGCAAGGAGAGCTGAGAAAACTCGAAAGACGACGACGATGCCAACGGCGTCGGCGAACTAGACGACGACAGTTAAAACAATAATTAATAATCCCTCAGTATGAGGGAGTCAAAGCCAGGCCCTATAAGTGATGTCGAAGTCACACGAGCTGCCATGCCGATCTCGTCCCAGGGACCCCACTGCACCGAAATGGCCGGCTGGTTCCGCCCAATGCGATAGGCAGCGAAGGAGTCCATGAAAGCATTTGCAGCGCAGTAGTTGCCCTGGCCGACCGCACCGAGCAAGGCAGCAACCGAGGAGAAAAGCACAAAGTGGCTCAGCTGCGTCTCCCTCTCCCCCTTGCTGGTGCAATTGTGCAGGTTCAAGGTGCCCGCGATCTTGGGAAGCAGAACCCTCTCCAAACTCTCCGCGGTCAAGTCAGAGATGAGATGGTCATCCAAAATGCCTGCAGCATGCCAGACACCCTTGATGGCTGCCATTGTCTTCTCCGCTTGCTGCATAACTTGACTTACATCCTCTTGACTGCCGATGTCCCCCTTGAGGAGCTGCACTTGCGATAGGCTGGAAGCTTTGTCCAGCAGCTTCAACAGCGAAGCATCCTGGATGCGTCCGGAGCGGGACATCATGGCAAGGTGCTGCACTCCACGTTCGGCAAGCCACCCGGCGAAGAGCACCCCAAGACTGCCTGTTCCGCCACTGAGTAGATGACAGCTACCGGCCTCGAATGCCACGGCTTGCTGCTCTGGAGTGCCAGCATTCACCAGACGAGGGCCTCGGCTTTAGTCTGACTTGCACCATTTAGCCATGGCATGCCCAATATTAATGCACAGGCTCAAGGCTCAAAGAGAGTGGAGAGGAGCCTTAGCCTCGGGCCCCACAGCTGCAAACCCTCCGCGCCCTGTCTCGACACCATCTCTGACTCCACACCAGGAGAAGCGAGCAGAGCGCTTGTCACCTGCCAGGGATGCACAATTCAAAACAAGAAAAAGGAGGAAGGAGAGTCTCGGAGTATGCATCAGCCTGGAAGAGTTGGTCTGGAGCTGCGACATCCAAGCAATTGACTTTCAGGTCCGGCCGCTCTGCTCGCAAAGCACGTGACAAACCCCAAATGCCAGCGTGGACGGGAACGTCGTTGATGTCGTTCCGTTGCGTGGCAATGGCTCGACAAGTCAGGAACCTTCAGTGCTGGAAACTGCAAATGCCAATATAACATACCCGTGCCTATCGTGCATCACTTGCAGGCCAAGGAGCCACAACTCGGGTGATGGAGAGCCAGGAGGCATCTTGATCAAGGCCTTTCAAGCCAACAACAATCACTGCACAAGAGGGCATGGGAGAGCGCTCGTGCACGCTTGGCAAAGACTTCCTTGATTCACACATCGTTTCAGGCATTACTGCCTGCTACATGCTCTCGCTCTGGTTGCCCACCTTCATGAGGCGAAGGGCGTGGCAGAGACCATTGTTGGCATCTTCGTTGGACAGGCCGACGGCACTGATGATTCGGGTCAGGTCAGACATGTCACTCTCTTCCAGGGCTTCCAGAGCTTCATCTGAAATTTCAGAAAACTGCGCCCCAGGAAGCTGGGAGAGGATGACCCCTTCCTGGCACATGCAAGCCAACCCATAAGTGGTGGTCAAACTCGAAGCCAGAATGGATCCAAGACAGGTGTTCTATGCGCGGTCCTGGGAAGCGCCCGCTGCAAGAACCAGGCATCTGCCGTGGTCCCCATCCTTGTCCGGTGCCGTGGGTGTAACATTGGGGAGCTCAGTCCAGTGCACCTGCCAGACACATGTCTGCTTCGAGGCACTGCACCTACATACCTATATCCTGCAGAGAGCCTCGTATATCTTCTGGTCGTCATCTGCCAGTTGGCTCTCCATGGCCTTCTTGATCTGTGCTCGTGTGACCTGGGGGTTGCCAAGCCTGTCCTGATTCGGTCTTGTGAGCCACTACCAAGCAACAAAAGCCGGCCTTTCGAAAGGCCACATCGGTGCCCTTGAGCAGGACTTCTCCGTCACTTGCAGCCACGGTGGAGTCAAAAACCTGACGGCAAAAGACCGGACGCAGCATCTGCCCTGAACGGCAGCAGTAATCGAAACAAGCACCTGCTCCTGCTCGGAGGATGTTTTGAGATCCAAATGCACGAAGTATTGCCTGAGCTCACTTCGAATGGCGCCCTCAAAGTTGCATCAACTTCAGGCTTGGCCACTCATCTCTGGAGAAGTCTCGGTGCACGTGCGCCTGACAACATGTCTGCTGGGAAGGGGACGGTAGCGCCTCATGACGCAGCAAGTCGAGCCTGCACTCGACCCATGCCTGAGAAGATCTTCAGAGGCGCATCCGAACCGATCATCGTGGCTCCGAGAGCATGGATGGTACCTTGAGTTGGCAACTTGGAACCACTGGCCGGCGCAAAGATGGGCATTCCCACAGGAAAGCATGATGCACCTGCGCTATTGACAAGTCTGAGGTCGCAGCCGTCAAGTGTGGCCGGATACACGATGAACCCCAAATTCGGCTGTGACCTACAAAGAACGGGGTTGCAAAACACTGAAGTGGAAGAGTGTTCAAGGCGGCGCTTGGCTACAGGCTCTGGTGAGTTCTCCAAACGGCAAAGCAAGTGTTGGTCACCACCTGTTCGTGAAAATACAGGGACATCTTTGTCAATCTAATGCATCTGAGAAGACTCCAAGCACTTCAAGTGGCACCTGCCTTCCCATGATGGTCCGAACGGCACTCTTCGTATGTCTTTGCAAACCTTCATGGATGGTTCCCAGGGGCTTCTTGTTATATAGGTCAGGGTCTGGTCATGAATGTTGGGATTCCAGTTACTTCTCTTGCGGAAACATCGGATCCAGCCTGAAAGCGGGGCCCGAGCCAGAGACCAGCTTTCTGGATAGCTTCGTACATGTCCTGCACATGTGACACCGAAAGGGAACCGCAGGCATCGGTCTGTCATCAACCAGCCTTCGGGTCAATCTCTTCCGTGCACCTGAACCGAAGCTCCTGATCAAAGAAGCTGCATGATAAGCACTCTGCACGACCAGCAGCGTCTCCAATGTGCTCCTCCAAGTCAAGTCTTCTTGGCTCTGCCAGGCCACGGCCAAGTCGCCCTTCACAATGGGTCATCATCTCTGCGCTGTCTCCGCGAAAACTGCGCATCTCGAACTTGTCACCCATCCTTGAAAGTACCAGGCTCTAACCAAATGTGCACAAGCAAGCCTCTTATCCGATGCAATGACGCGACATAAGACGACCAAACATCGCTTTGCCAGCGGGTGACTGACAAAAGCGCAGGAAGACTGCAGCTGCCGTTGGCACATCTGTATGCTTTGGAATAATGAGGGGCCAGGTCATGGCCTTGTCGTGTCTCATAGTGAATTCGATTCTCGCTCGCTGTCGCAAACCGAGACAGCGACAAGATCCTCTAAATATCCGTCAGTGCCGATGATTGTCTTCACTGCCTGCGACAGCCAAAGCTCCCTACAAACTCGATGCGTGCAGCAAGGGGAGGCCTCCATTGCATGCTCCACATAAACCACTCCTGAACACAAAGTGATTGTGGATCCGGAGACACCAACCTGCCCTGCAGGACATGAAGCTTCCAGATTCCTGGTACGACGATCTGATTGAAAACCACGTGCTCCGCACAAACCTTGAAGAGGTCCTAGGATGAAATGTCCAACTTTTGCGCAGCTCTGGAGACAACTCGCAAGCATGGATCTTCCCGGCCGAGCCAAGGTACTGCATTGATGGCACACTCATATTGAACGGCACCACCTTCTTCGATCTTCCGTCGCAGGCAACGGTAGGAGGTCTTGCGCCACGGGAAGGAGGCATGCCTGCCACATCTTACAAGAATCTCCAAGCTTTATGAATCGACGGACATCGACAGCCCACACGAAGCTGACTCAATCAACCAGAAATTGCAGCAAACTGAACAGCGCACCTGTATGTGATGGCACTGGCTGTGCGATCACTGTCTCGCCCCGTGCTGCTGCAACAGGTAACGTGCGCGTTTGTGCCACCAAATCCAAACGAGGAGAGGCCTCCCATCTGACCCAAGCAACAAGGCAGCAGAGCTGCGCGGCAAGAAATCAAGCAATTTCAACAAAGTCAAAAAGCTGTAAGGCGATAGAAGGAATCAGCTGGTACTGTGTGCGGAGTGAAGTCTCCGAACAACCTGGCCTGAGACAACAGTTCCCCCAGGCAGGCGGTAAAGCTCGAAAGGAATCTGAGCCTGACCAGCGGGGTAGCTCCCATCGGCTCACCACATTGTCAAAACAGATCAGCCTGGAAGTCCTCCAGGTCGATATGGGGGTTCAAGCTTTGGAAGTGTAGATTAGATGGAACCTGCTTCGTCTCCAACATGTGGACGCTTTTGAGTAGACCAGCAATACCTGCAGAACCTTCCAGGTGCCTTAGTTGGAGAATGAATGTCAGAAAGGCGCCAGGACCAAACCGAATAACAACGCTCTGAGGTTTGAGAGGAGATACGCAATGTTGGTCTTGGCGGCCCCAAGGGCGACAACGGAATCGTTGCCCAGCACAGTCTTAAGAGCATCAACTTCAATAGGATCCCCAAGGGCAGTGCCGGTGCCATGGCATTCCACTAGAAGCACCTCACTGGGTCTGGCCGAAGCCTCCGAAAGTGCACCTCGCACAGCTACCTGCTGGCATGGGCCGTTGGGCGCTGTCAGTGACGCAGAACGTCCGTCCTGGTTAACCGCGGTGCCCCGGATCAAGGCTCTGGCTGCACAGGGCCCCTCTGGCCCCTTGCTAGTCTCCTCATCTGCCATACTCAAGAAAATGCATCCAACACCTTCTCCGCGGGCAAACCCATTTGCCGACTTGTCAAAGGTGAAGCAGCGGCCATCCTTCGAAAGCATCTTCGCCTGGCAGGGATTAACCTATGAAACTTTGATGCACCCTGAGAGCCTGTCGGGGTACAGATTGTGCGAAGCTCAGGCCTGGCTAAAGGCAATGTAAGGAGCAGGGCCAAGAATGAGATTTGTTCCTGCAGCTAATGCGCCCTCTGCAGTTCTGCGATGTAGAGAAGACAGCGCCTCAGTTGAGTGCGAGCAGAAGCGGGATCGTGGCAATTTCGGGATGGAGCCAGGCACAAAATCAAGCAGAACCATGCATCGTCATGCATCCGTGCAGCTGCATCGGCAGCAACCAAGGAAGAGGAACAGGCAGTGTCGCATGTCAGACTCAGTCCCTTCAGTCCAAAAACGTACCTTGGTCAAGCAACGAAAATTGACAGCTCGCCAGATGCCGGCAGCCTCTTCAAAGACAGCAGCTATCGAGGGAGCAAGCTAAATGCAGCGAATGAGCGAAACGCGGTTTGCACTGATTGAAGCTGACATACCAGTGCCAGTGTAGGGGTTGAACTGGTCTCCGGCTGAAATCATCACGAACCAGTCCTGTCCGTCGTTTGGAGTTTCGGGGTGCGTGTTCATCAGCCTAGTCGGGCTGCTGCTGTCACAGGGATATATAAGGATGATCTTACCGCTCCAGCAGCGAATGTCCAAGAAAATCTGATAGGATTAGCTTTCAGCACTCTGGCTGGGCTTTAATTTCAAAGACTGTTTCAGATGGCTGCAGGGTCCGGCAGTCTGCCACCGCCATGGTTTGTCACATGCCTGTACGACTTACCATGGGCAGCACCAGCCCCAGCCCCCACATTTCCCAAGCAACACCAAAGGACCAAGGAAAGCATCCGGGTCTGCCCCACCACGCAACTCGTCTGCAACTAAACTACAGAGTGTCTTCGCAGGTCTCGCACGGTTTAGAACGTGGTTGGCCACCGGCACAGATCAGCTGCAGCGCGACCCCCATTGTGCATCCAACCCGGGCTCTTTCCAGCCCATGAGGGTTGCGCCGGCCTATGGCTTCAGGCTCCGCTGTAAGGCAGACTGGGCTACATAGACTCTGGACACCGGCAGACGGTGATCCCACCATCGCAAGGATTCACATTCTGGCGCCGGCATGTTGAGACGTCAGGTTCTTGCTTGGTAGGGGCCTTTGATCGCTCTGAGCCGTTGCCCCTGCTACTGGTCCGAAGTACCGGAGTAGTCTTCGTTCGAGTGATGATCTTCTGACGAATCCTGTGCCCCCATGCTGCTCCCTCTTCCACTTGGCCCGATCAGGGGAGGGGATACATGCCTCAGTAGCCGATTCCGGTTCACTGCAGAGACGGAGACCCTCCTTAACCTGTCATGAAGCTTCTGAATGAAACTGCGCTGCTCAACGGCAACCTGCAGGTCGGAGAGGCCTCCCTGCTTACACAATGCGATTTCACCTCACAACAAAACAACACGGGTCTCACACTGTTTGTCACCCCAGTCATATTGGCATTGGCCCACGAAGACCCCAACGCAGGAATCCATGAGCTGCTCGGGATCACGTCCGGAAGACTGGAAGGCCGTCTGTGCTGCCTCGAGCAAGAGGCGTTGCTGAGGGTCTATGGCTGCAGCTTCTGCCGTCGAGAGGGCGAAAACAAAGGGATCGAACAACTCGGCACCTTGGCAAGTCCGACATCTTGTGGAATCTGGGCCTCCGTCTGCCCTAGCTTTGCTCTTGAGTTCCACCTAGAGTTTACGTGAAAGGGGGAACGGGTATGACTCGGTATGATGCATGAAGTGTCCTACAGTACTACATTGACATTAGCATGCCTCACGCTGCAGAGCTGACCTGAAGTGCGAAACTGAATCGTCTGATCTCATGCCTAAGTGTTTATGACGAAGGTTTATGCCACGGTCAAAAACTGCAAAGCAGCTTCTTCAACTTATCAAGGTACCTTCGATGAAGCCACCATGGCGGGCATACGTCTTTCCAGGAGCTTCTGTGTCTGAGCTGTAGTAAACGTCATGCTCCCATCGCGCAAATGGGACCTCAATGACGGAATCTTTCTTTTGCAACAAGTCCTCCCAAAAGCCGTCGTCACGGCGGCCCGGCAAAGTGGCTGCCGCTCCTTGAACTGAAGCAGACGAACCAGAGTGCAACGACTTTCCGGCAGTCTCCAGCATTGCATCGGCTGGAGGACCCAGTTGGGCCATAGCAAAATTACTAATCGCAGCGACCGTGGGGTAGTCAAAGATCAACGTGTTTGGCAACTTGACTCCCTGGAGCTCGTTGGACAAACGATTCCGGAATTCAACAGCCTCGGTCAGGCACTCACAGATCATCCTCCGACCTTCCCACCAACCAAGATGTTCCAAATCCTCTTACTTGTCTAAGGGGCCGCAAGCGAATCCATTCCAGCCTCCATCAGCGGCTCCTATGCTGCAAGTCGCTTAGCAAGCAATGCACAAATTGCAAGTTATGGAGTCCTGTACTCCAACAGCACCCGCAACATCCCTCGCAACCTCAAGCACCAGGGACTCCACCTTAGACACGGCAGTGCGGGAAAATGCCTACGTAAGTTGAACTAAGCGCACTCAGTTCTCAGCCGTGCCTGTTCCACGGTTGTGGTGTTGGTGGTCGCCCGAAGCCCCATCTCATTCAGACCGGCACTTCCATGGCTGGTTTCTTGGAAGCCTGCTGTCAGCAGCAGTCTCGATTGCTTCTTTCAACATGCTTCTTTGAACATGTGGCATCGAATCTGTTGTGCAAGCCCAGGAGCGAAGATACAACGGTGGCACGTTTTTCCCAAACCTGTGTCTTGCGATAAGGCCATGAGATTTGTCAGCAATACGGGCAACACGCCAAACAACCTGCGAAAACAGCACCCAAATCCTTCGACAGACTTGCCATCTTCGCTGAACGGTGTTCCCGAAGTTTATCAATGAGTCTCTGCCGGGTGGCTGCTTCAGGTACTGCGTCCAGTAAACCGGACAAGCTGCGATGATGCTGCCAGAAGCATGCAGGGATCCTGAAAGGATCGCCATGCCAACCTCAGCTGACAACACAGCGACAAGGTCAGATCCAAAAAGCGTATCAACTTTCAGAGCGCCTTGCAGTTTTGTTCATGCATCTGGTGGCATGTGACAACTTGATGCACAGGCCTAAAGCTCGACACAACATCAACAACGTTCAGAAGTTCGCCACACAAAAATCAAGCATGCAACACGCTGTGGGCTAGAATGCAAACAGACAGTGGTTGACGGGGCGGAACATACGCAAGGTGGACGACCACAACCGTTTCCTCGAGGCCGGCCTAGCATTAGCCGAAGCATACGACACAGACGTTGGTTCGACTTGTTCCGCACTGCTTTATGGATGAAGCGAAATCTTCATGTTTGCACTCTATGACTGGATGAAGCTGCGTGATCATCTTGCATGACTTGATCAATCCGCTTGCAATGGCCAAGGGGCTGTGTTTGAAATACTGCCGAGACCTTGTGCCTTCAAGCGCTGCACAGCTCCGCTCTGAGCTGCCATGCCAAGCTCTCGCCACGGGCCCCACTGCACGGAGACTACGTGCTCACCCACGGCCTGCACCAGCGTCTGTCAACAGAAACAGCAAACTGCCCGTCCTCATTGGACATGGCCCAGATTAACCGTGGAAGACGTTGGTGACAATGACACAGGCTAAAGATGCAAGAACGATCAAAGGAAGAAGGGAATGGATAAATAACAAGAGGAAAGGAGCAAAGGAGGTGCGGGAAGCTAGGCTGAAAAGTGGAAAAAACAGGCGGCCATCCGTAAAAGTCTGTATCTAGGTCTCAAGACGCAGTCCTTCCAGTGGCGCGCATAAGCATCCAAGGCAGCGTTGGCTGCAGAATAATTGCCCTGGCCGGGCAAGAAAAGCGTGGACAGACTGACACGTGGACAGTGCACAGCTTCTGATCTCCCAAGACGCAAAGGCCTGGCCAGGAGACCCCAGGAGGGCGGACGTTGACGAGAAGAGCACCATGAAGTCCAAGGCCACTCTGGATTTGAGAGACACGTGCAAATGCCGTGAGCCCCAGACCTTTGCAGCGTAGGCAGACTCCAGGTGTTTCTCTGTGAGCTTGGGCAATGTTGCATCATCGAGCACAGCCGCCAGGTGCATCAAACCTCGAACATTGTAGCTCGGCTGGCGTTGAGTGATGCTGGTCACCAGCCCCTCCACCTCATCGTGCTGGGCCACGTCGCAGGCCTTGATCAGGATCTCAATGTCAAAGCTCTCTAGCCTCTTCCACGCCTCTCTCAAGTCATGGTTAACGACTCCCCGGCGTGAGAGCAGCACCATAGACTTGGCACCTTCTTCCGCCATCATCTCAGAAGTGACCAAGCCTAGGGCACCAAGGCCTCCACTCAGAAAGTACGTGCCATCTGCGTGGCAGCCCATGCGCGACGGCTGCGTCAGCACAACCTTGCCGATGTGCTGCGCGCGCTGCATGTACCGCAGCGCCTCAACGCCGGAGCCAAGGCCTTCGTGGAGAGTCAGCGGCACCTCCTCCCACAGACCCTCCTCGACCTGGGGTTGGCCAGAAAGGAAGTAAAGAAATATGTGCTCGGCGTTGCGTGTGTGTTATGACACAGTCACGAGCTCCAGACCAGACGCAACATCCGGTACACCGAAAATGAGCCACCAACAAACTGCTGGAGTTCCGGAAACTGGACACACTACCGCAACACTGCTTCCATCGACCTATGTGTGCTCACAGCATCTCACAGCTTACGATGGAAGATTTTCGGCAACCTCGCCTGGCCAACGAGACGTGCCAGGAGCAGATTGAAGCGTTCGGGCTGGTACTCCATCACCCAGTCCATGGCGATCTTCTCGTACTGAACGTCCGGCCGCTCAAGGCGCATGCGTTCGTGGCTCCAGACACCTCTCTTGCCAATCTCCATGAAGCGCCCACCCTTCGAAAGAAAGGCGAGGGATTTGGGGATGAAGCCTTCGTGACTCAGACTGTTCAGAACTACATCCACGCCATCCTCAGCACCGTCCTTTTGCAGGAAGGTCTTCATATCCTCCTCGAATTGCTGGGCATCGCGGCTGCTCGTGATGTACTTCACGCCACGATCCCGCAGGTACTGCACCTTCTCAGGGCTCCCGGCAGTGGCGAAGATCGTCGCGCCCATCCGCTGTGCGAGCTGCACAGCCACAAGCCCCACTCCTCCAGTAGCTGCATGGATCAGCACCCTCTCACCAAGCTTCAAGGGCGCCAGCTCAACGAAGGCTTCCTCAGCAGTTGCGAAAGTAACTGGCCATGCCACCATCTGCTCGAAGGACCATCGCTTCGGCTTCGGAACCATAAGCAAGCCCTCCGTGCAAGCGAAAGCTTGTAGGCAGCCTGGGGCGATGCCAAAGACATCTCGCCCAGGACGGACGAAGCCGTGTCTCTCGCTCTCCGACTGCACAAACAGTACCGGCACAATCACCACCTGGGTTGCCCGGGTCGCCGGGATACAAATCCATGACGTTCAGCACGTCCCGGAAGTTGAGGCCAACCGCACGGACGCGCAGCTCCACTTGGTCTGCGTCCGGCGACGCACGCTGAAGGGGGACCACACGAAGGTTGGACAGGCTCCCTCGCGACTTCATCTCCAGACGCATCGGCTTCTGCAGCTGCACTGGGCAGCGGCAGAGCCGGGGCACGTAGGGACCTCCACTGAGAGCTAGTTCGGTCTCGACTCCACCAACGCTGCCAAGCTGTTCCAAGATGACCTGCGCCGTAGCATCTGGGTCGTCTGGATCCAGCACATCCAGGTCAAAGCAGTACATGCTGAGAGACGCATCTTCCAGTCGCGCGGTTCGCGCCAAACCCCACAAGCCAGCGTGCAAGTAGCTCCCGGCTCCACGGTTAGGCGCATCCTGCAGAGAGGGCTGAGGAACGGAACGGGAAACAGCTTTGGCAAGCCGTTCTGCGCGCCTGCGTTCCGAAGGTGAAGTAAGCGATCTTGGGCACATGATGGCCCTTCGCGGCGAGCGCCATGGCTGCCTCCAGGCTCATCGACAGAAAGCAGCTTAACTTTACTGAGGCTAAAGACCGGCCTGCACCAAACGCACTGCATCGAACAACACCTGCATTTCGTCCGTGTCCTGTCACGCTCACACGATGATACAGAAGTACGTGGAAGTGCCCAACTGCTGAAACGGTGTAAGATGGATGTCCTGTGATGCCGCAAGTAGCACCACAACCTCGGCTCCCTCCAACGTCGAGTCCGCAGCTGTCTCAAGGAAGCTGGCCTCCGCTTTCGGGTGCAAACTGCTGAGAAAGGCTAGTCGGCTAGTGGCCACTGCCCATGGGGAGTGCCTGAGGCCTCCTCATGCTGCCCTCAGATTGGGCAAACGTGCTAGGAGTGTTACCCTGCATGCGGAGGCTGCCCTGGCCTCAGGTAGCAACACCTTCAAGGAACTGCTCAGCCTCTCCGCGCCTCAGTCACACTCAACCCTTCAACCGCAAGTCGTTTTTGACCCTTGGGGCGTGATGTCCTAGATCCGCTTCCACAGGCCACCGTCACCCGTTCTAGCCTCCAGCACAACAAACTGAGCACCGCACCGAGAAATAACAGACCCGTACCTCTTGGACCGGCCAGCGCTGCTGGAGATCCAGATGCTTCTGATGCTTCCGCAGCCATCCACTCCACTTCATGTACGTCTTCCTCCACGTCGGCTCGCTCTAGCGTCTTGGCCTAGGAACCCCAGGAAGCGAATGGGTTCGCGTGCACACTTTGTCTGGAAACCTGGCACGACAACGGATCGCCCTGAACCAACCGCATTCTGTCCTCTTACCAGAACCTGCTGTCCACCACTGCTCCTCGACAGCAACCTGTGAACAAGCGGCAATATGTCGAGGATGCACTTCACGAAACCTTGGAGGGGAGTTTCGGTAAGTCGGAAAACCAAAGACATCATGCTTCATCCAACGCCTGCTGAGACTGCGTGTTCTGAAACTCAGAGCCTTCAGTTCAAGCCGGGGCACTTCATTGTCTCGAATCTGAGCATGATGCTGCCATCCTGGTCCGCTGATCAATTCAGCGAAAAGGGTACACACGGCGAGTTCCTGTGACTTCGCCATGGTTAGTGTGTGTCTATAGAGGAAGGCATCCTTCCTGCCTTTGAACCGGATCATCATTTTGAGGGTGCGGATAGGGCGGGGGGCCCGCGCTTCCTCCCACCCTAGGTATTAATCTGATAAGGATACCAATCGCTTTCACGTTGTGGCCTGCTACGGGTAAAAAGGGTAACCGACAACTGTCGCAAGCTCCGCAGAGCTAGCTTTCGTGATTATCACGGGCACACTTGTGGGCCTTGCCTCTGCAAGGCGCAGTGCCGCAGAGTTTGCAAAGTCAAGGTTTTTGCGAATACGAATGCTGTGTGCGGAGGCAATGGCAGCACCATCAACTGCAAGCTAGCATTTCCAGAAGGTATCCACCCTCTACAGCCGGCAGGCCTCCTCGTTGCAGAGCTCAGAATTGACCCAGAGCTCGCGGTCCGTGTTTCTGACAAGCTGGTGATGCACCCAAACGTCAGCACGAGATCCTTGCAGCTCTCGACTCCACACCGCAAGCAGAACCATCAGCAAGTTTTGCACACTGCACTCGGGCATCTGCGCACGTCTTCTATCGTCTTCTTACATTACTTGTCCATGCCCGCCATTGGTTCACTGATGACGGAGACTCAGAGAAGCACCCTCCAGACCATCCGGAGCCAGCTCCCTTCAACCCCTTGCGTCCTTGTCCAAAGCGCGAGACTGTGTCCACCATGAAGGGAACACGCAGTGAAGCCAAGCTGTCAGCGGGCTCGTGGCGCTGGAGCATTAGAGCCATGCAACTTTGAAACGCTCCATCCTCAGTGTTCACGGATGGGAACGCACCCAGGGCGAAAGAGCAGACACCACGAGATAGAGATTTCACATGTAAATGCTTTGCTCCTTCATCCCACCCCGTGTTACTTGTGCTACGCTGGTTGCATGATTTCCCGTTGGCAGCAGAAGCACTGCGAAATGCCAAAGCAACTCGCACTCTGCTACTGGCCGAGGCACGATGACCGTGGGGTTGAAGACGTAGCCAGTCTTTGCCTCCGCATCATCCGCCACAATGCACGCCAACACCTGCGAAGGCCACAAACCACATGATTGACACAGGTTCCTGCAACTACACGACAGACCAAAAACCACCTCCTCGTCGGCACGCAAGATCTGCCGAACCGTCTGGAAGCGTCGCTCGAGCACGAGGCCGAGAGTAGAGAAAGACACCTGAAAAGCCCACATGTAACCCGCAAGCTACACCCCTGAAAACGGTGGACGTGTGCTCCAAGGGACATATAACTGATCCACTGCTACTTCTTCGTCACAGTGCCGACGCACCTGAGAGCAGTGCGGATTCTACCACGAGCTCATGGTTTGGCTAGCTGTGCGTGGCCTCGTTTAGATCCACATAGGGGGCTGCAACGTCAGCAAAACCATTCAGGTCAAGTTCCTCGGATAGGTCAAACGCACCTGACCGTTTCTTCACAGCCCCGTCATCCCGGCTGCAAGATATCATCCAAGCAGCACCTCCGGCATGGTCAGCAAGCTTCCTGCCCTGACTTGCGTCAAAGCTGAAGATTGACCAATGCATGTCCGGGAAAATTTCCAAGTACCTTAGGCTTCAGCCATAGCGCAACCGCTTCAACTGACCACCTCTGAACGAACTCATGATGCATCTGACATGTGGGCATGGCAGGATAGGCCAAGACTGTGCAGACCAAGTTGCATGTCAATATCCCGCACCAACTTTCCAGGCTTGTCCCCCTGCTGCAAAACTAGCGGCGCAGTGAAGCCAACCTGCTGAGGCCGTGTGTGTTCGATTTATGGATGCAGACATCGGCTCCGAAGTGAGAAAGCGTCGAAGTGTGTGCCGAGAACTCGGCCGTTTGAGAATTTCAGGACACGTAATCCGGCACTACGCCCACAAAACACTACTCGCAGGCTCGATGTGCCAGCTTCAACATGTGTTGTTTCACATCCCTACACAGGCCGCCTGGTGGATCTTCCACAGCTTGCCTGCGTTCAAATGCAGCTCACCAGCAGCGAGGACCATCTCAAGGTACGCTGCCCCGGGCATGACCATCTCACCGAAAAGTACGTGGTGACCTTAATAACTTCAATTTAAATGCGTTCTTGGAGACTAATCCGCCGAGGCCACAGGCCCAGGCGTCTTGATGGTTACCTCAGGTACCCTCCACCTAATCCTCCTCCCTGCGTCCAAATGTTTGGAGACACCCTGTTTTTGCGTTCGTTTGCTACCCCCTTCTCCGGCTTCCCTTCATTTTACCTGATTTGCGGCTTAAACCGGGTTTATTTGGAAGCTGGCATTCGTATATTAAATAAGGAAAAGTGACCTAAATCCCTAATATATACACAAGAACCAGCTTCCAAATAAACCCTATTTGGGTTTCTGGGTGGGATCCGGCCTGAATTTAAATAATTTAAACAATTTAAATAATTTGAATAAATTTAAAAATTTAAATATTGGGGTGGACCCTGGGGAGGGGGTCGGGCCGGGAATTTAAATAATTTAAATAATTTAAAAAAATTGGGGGCCCCGAAATATTTAAATTATTTAAATTATTTAAATTCCCGGCCCGGCCCCCAGGGTCCTCCCCAATATTTAAATTATTTAAATTACTTAAATTATTTAAATTGTTTAAATTATTTAAATTATTTAAATTATTTAAATTATTTACTTCCCGGCCCCAATTAAATAATTTAAATAATTTAAATATTGGGGGAGGTCCCCGGAGGGCTCCGGATTTAGATTATTTAAATTATTTAATTGGGGCCAGGAATTAAATAATCTAAATAATTTAAATAATTTAAACAATTTAAATCCTGGGGGAGGGGTCCACTGTTTCTTCCGTCCCTCCCACCCCCCCCACCTACCCTCCCTCACCCACCCCTTCCACCCACCGACCCTCCGCGCCCACGCAGCGTCCCAACCCCCCCCCACCCACCCTTCCTCCCACTTCACACTCCCTCCACCTCCTCCTCACCCTACCTCCCAAACACCCTCCCACCACCCTCTCACCCACCACTTCAAGGGCTAGGGATCCCACACATCTGCGGGCAAAATCTGGCGGAAGTGATCCGCCAACGAGCAAAAAGCCTGTAAATACCGCATTAAACAAAGGGCCAGGGATTTCACACATCTGTTGGCAAAATCTGGCGGAAGTGAGCAGTCGGTACTTCCGCCAGATTTTGCCAACAGATGTGTGAAATCCCTGGCCCGTTGTTTAATGCGGTACGGCCTCTACTTTAGCGCAAAAGCCTTTAGGGGGCACCCCTTGCGATTTGTGATTTTGGAACTTATTTGTTATAACAACCTTTAGGTGGACACCACTTGCGATCTGTGCTTTTCGGTTCTGAGTTTTCACAAAACCTTAGGGGGACACCCCTTGCGATCTGTGATTTCGGGATCTGAGTTCTTACAAAACCTTAGGGCTGCGATTTGTGATTTGCGGATCTGAGTTTTCACAAAACTTTAGGGAGACACCCCTGTAGGGGGACCTCCTCACGATCTGTGATATTGAGATCGGCGTTTTTACAAAACCTAAGGGGATATTCCTTGAGATTTGTCATGTTGGGATCTAGCTTGCGCGAAAGCCTTTAGGGGGATTTCCCTTGCGATTTGTTATTTCGGGATCTGTTTTAGCGCACAAGCCTTTAGGGTGACACCCCTTGCGATTTGTGATTTTGGAACTTATTTGTGATAACAACCGTTTATGGGGACACCACTTGCGATCTGTGGTTTTCGGTTCCGAGTTTTCACAAAACCTTAGGGAGACACCCCTTGCGATCTGTGTTTTTGGGATCTCCAGTTTTTACAACACCATAGGTGGACACCCTTTGCGATCTGTGATTAACCTGTCGTGGGACACCCCTTGCGATTTATTATTTTGGAACTTGTTTTTTCAACGAACCCTTAGGGGGACACCCCGTGCGATCTGGGT